TATGGGAAAAATTCAAGACAAAAAGTATCGGAATAATAAAAGGAAAATGTAATGCTGAAAGAAAAATGTCTAAGAACGTTTTGTTTTTCACCTTCGAGTGAGTAAGTACTTTTAACAAGTTTATTAGTCCCCTACCGGTTTACCGGAGGGGACTTTAGTTTTACCATCCGTCCGTCTGTCCGTCCGTCTGTCCGTCTGTCCGTCCGTCTGCCTGTCAGTCCGTCAGTCCGTCCGTCCACAAAACTGGATCCCGCGATAACTTGAAAAGTACTAAAACTATTTTTATGAAACTTGGTATATGGATAGATGGCAGTATGGAAATTATGCACGTCTTTTTCTTTTCTTCCTATGTTGAAAATTCTGGTTGCTATGGCAACAAATAGGTTGAAAATATGGCAAATTTTACACATATACTGGATTCAGTGATAAAGCAAAAATTACTGGAAATATTTTTATGAAACTTGACATATGGGTAGATGGCAGTCTTGAGATTATGCACGTCTTTTTCTTTTCTTCATATATTGAAAATGCTGGTTGCTATGGCAACACATAGACTGAAAATATGGCAAATTTTACACATAAACTGAATCCAGTGATAACTCAAAAGGTACTGGAAATATTTTTATGAAACTTGACATATGGGTAGATAGCAGTGTTGAGATTATGCATGTCTTTTCTGTTCTTCCTATTTTGAAAAAATATCAGTTGCCTTGGCAACAAATAGGCTCAAACATAGCAAATATAACAATATTTGTGATTAGTCAAAAAGAGCTGAACATTTTTATGAAATTGCATCTTTAATTCAAGAGTTATCTCCTCTTTAAAAATTTTGCTTTTAAAATGTTATATTTTGGTAACAGGGATGTTTCAAATATTAACTTTAGAGTGTCCTTCAGTCCGTCTGTCTGTCTGTTCATAAAAACTGTTTCCTGTGATCACTTTTAAAGAACTTTTCCAACAAGTTTACTTAAAAAAGAGAAAAATTGAAACATAAGTGAATGACCAATGGCCCTTCAGAATGTTGATGGGGTTCTAACCGGTAGGGGACTTATGGATTGCTTGCAATACTATGATAATTGCTTGTTCATTTTAATTTATACATTTTTTAAAAAAAATATATATCTTTAAACAATATAAACCTTGTAATACATAAGTCAGTAATTTTAAGCTTTTAGGATTGTTGGATGTCCGTCGTCTGTCGTCCGTCCACATTTGATTGTTAACGCACCAGTGGTCACATTTTTGCCTCGTTCAGTGTCAATCTTTTTTAGGATGTTTGTCAAAGGTAATTGCTTGGATGAGTTTGAACATGGGTCATCTAGGATGAAAAACTAGGTCACAGGAGCTTAAAATAAAAAATCTTGTTAACACTCAAGTGGCTACTGTTTTGATCCAAATATCCTTGAAATTAGTCTGCAAGTTTGTTTTGATGATTTCTAGGTCAAGTTTTAATATTGGTCACCTGGGATCAAAACTAGGTCACAGCGCCCAAATATAGACAAAAAACCCTTGTTCAAACTCTAAAGGTTACATTTTTTTTGACTCAATTGTCATCAAACTTGGTCAGGATGCTTGTCTAGGTAATTGTTCGAATAAGTTCCAACATGGGTCATCTCGCCGGATGAAAAACTAGGTCACAGAAACTTAAAATTGAAAAATATTGTGAAATCCCTAGTGGCTACTGTTGTTATCCAAATGTCATTGAAATTGGTCTGCTAGTTTGTTTTGAGGATTTCAAGGTTAAAGTTGAATATCTGTCACCTGGGGTCCAAAACTAGGTCACACTGCCCAAATACGGAAAAACCTCACTAATCACTGTAGTGGTCACATTTGTTGACCCAATTGTCATCAAACTTGGTCAGGATGCTTGTTTAATTAAATGCTGGAATGACCTCAAACATGTGTCATTTCTGATGAAAAACTAGGTAACAGGAGCTAAAAATAAAAAAAAATCTTGTAAACTCACCAGTGGCTACTGTTGTTATTCAAATATCCTGATAATTGATCTGTAACTTTGTTTTGATGATTTCTAGGCCAATGTTGAATATGGGTTACCTAGGCTCAAAAACTAGTTACACTGTCCATATATAGAAACAACCTTGACTCAATTTCAATCTTTGTCACGATGCTTGCCTAAGTAATTGCTCTGATGATTCAAATGGAAAGGTCAGCCATTTAGGCCATCTTGGCTCTCTTGTTTAAATGGATAATTTTGTAAAATAAAATGATATATGTCATTGTTGACACATACTTTATTTCATTGTAAAATTGAGTTTCGGATGTTCGTTTGTTAACAGAGAGGACTTGTATAGTGTGAATGCTTTTTATATCTAACTCTCACCCTTTATCCCTCAAAAAATTGTTGAGGAATAAAATAATGAGAATAGGAGGTAACATTTATCAACTTGTATCATATCCAACCCATTTCCGGTCCGTGAATGTTTATTTTTACTTTCCTTACATAACATCCATGTCAGGTGTGCGCGTTTGTAAAGAATAACACGGAAATGTCACAAAAACATATCTGACGCAAAATGGAGATCAGAACAGTAAGTATATGTATGTGATATTTCGTATATTTTCATATGTACACATGTGATATTTCGTATATTTTCACTATCCCTAAACGTGCCTTTTTTATGGATATGGAATATAATTGAAATTGAATAAATGCTAATACAATGTGTATAATTTTATCATCATCATGTGGCAGAAAGGCGATCTTATAGATCCTATGATCCTGATAACTTGACTAAGGTTTATTTTGTTGTCAAACAATAAAAAATCAACAAATTAAGCATCCAATGTATCTAAAACAATACAATATACAGGACAGACTTTATGGCAAAGTTGATATAGATACACTTAAATCCCCAGTTGAACCAGGAGCAAGCAGCACTTTAAATTAAAGACAAAAGATGATGTGGGTTATGGTAGCAGCCGTCAAGAGAATTTAGTTTCTGACTATGCTGATCATTTATCTCTGAGAGATCAAGATTATCATATTATCACACTGATAGATGGCTATATGGTCTTTTAAGCAGATTTTGAGGAACTTACACTCTTACAAATTTCACCCTACTCAAAAAACCTCAAATGATTTATAATATTGACAAAATGATCTAAGCACCGCACATAGACAACCTAAAGAGATAGGGGTATATTCTTTAAATGTCAAGCTGCTTCATCTGGCAGAGGCAAATCGGTTATTTTGGCTAAATGCGCCAATTGTGTTAGCCAAATTATACCACATAATGTTGATTCCTTGTTGGAAGGAGCAACTGCTGGAACAGATGGTGATGTGCCTGAGTCTGGGTGGTCAGATGTTTCGTATTTACATTAAGGAGCTTCTCATCAAGTTTTATCTTACTAGGGATGGTGTTGAAATACTTCTACATTTTGATGGACACAAGAAACACATTACCATACATTACATTTAGTGGGTCACACCTCAGCACTTTCATTTCAACCACTTGCAGATATCTGCCCTGGCCCATTTGAGGTTCCATGGAACTCAGCGTGTCACTGTTTCATTCGTGAATTTGTTTAAAGTGTGAAAACACGATACGATGTCTGTAAAGTGTATGCCAGTACCTAAATTCTGTAAATATATAGTCTGCATTTAGGAAAAATGGAATATATCCATTTGACAAATCTGTAATTTAAGATGCAAAAGTTGCTCCGGCCATATCTTTTGATAGGGATCGGATAAATGCTACTGATGCTCCAGATCCTACATCACACGTACCAGTTCATGAAAAATCATCTAAATCTGCAGACTCATTCTTATTGAAAAGAAATGGGAAACTACTTCAAAATGTCAAGTATACCTTGAATAAAATACGCCATAGAATTCGTTGAACATTTTTTTTTATCTGATACAGTAATAAACAGCGACATAATAACTTGAGCTCTGGTAATATGATGAAATAATTTATTTCTGTTAAGTGAAGAATCGAAATTATTTATTACTTGAATGATTTCTCTTTCGAAAGTGGACATTATTTTGGAAATAAACGGTGCTATATTAAAAATTATTTTCATGATATTTAGGTTACCGAAATTATGATTTCTTTTAGTTCATCTCCAATACCTTACGGTCTTGAAACATCAGCAAAACTGTGTTTAATTTTTCAAATTAATATCAAAATAAAAAAAACTCATATCGTAAAAATTTTGACGAAAATTGTGTGATTGAAGTGATCAAATCCTGTGAGGGAGATTGGCAAACTGTATAATAACGTTTTATATAAAATGTTGATATCCTTTATCATATATTGATTTCATATCTTATTCATCTTTCGTCCCAAATAATGTATAATTCGCCCTATTTCATGTTCATAGAGTTTTGTAATATTGATTTTATAACAGGAATATCTATTTAATGTATCAATTTATAACATAACTTTTATCTGGGATAAATACATGTGAAATAATACAGGAAATGTACATAAATTTCTATCAACATACCAAAAAAAAAAAGGAAAAAATTGTTACAAGAACGTATAAAACGTTTAAACACAAGAAAAAAAAAACATATGTTAGTGATATATGAATCATGGCGACTCTTTCCGTTAACATGTGATAAAATAATATGTTTCCACATTGAAAGATTATGACATTTCTAGTATTCGATCTAAGGTAAGCAAGCTACGGCCATATTGTCCCCATTGTAGTTGGAAAACTCGGAGTTAAATGTTGAGACTTATATGATACTTGTCCATCCATAAGTATCATTATGAAAAAAAGTTACACGCATTAAATACTTCATGGCAAATGTTAAAGGTATATACACGTATAGAAGATATATGACCTATTTTATTGTAATACACGTACAAAATATTCCGGCAAAATAGTATAAAGTAAGACGCATCAAAAATGTCACGACCAACAGTTAAGATGAATTCGAAGGGCTAAGGCCGGGCGGGGCAAAGCTCGACGTTTTTTACTTGTTCTTAAAGAAAATAAATGAAGGCTAAAAGAATAGAATAGAAATAAAATTTAAGTTTTTCCTCATTTTAATTTTAGTAGGTCTAACTAGTCACATTTTGTTTGTTTTGTCCAATATGAATCCTTTCCATAAATAAATGACAAATCTAAGAAAATATAATCAAAATTTAATCAAAATGACGTCAAGGTCATTTTAAGGTCAATATCATATCTGAATTATTCTACATGTCTGTTTGGTCAAGGGTGTTTGTTTGTCCACATATGCATCAGATCCGTACATAAATAGCATAATTATATCAATTTAACCAAAATTCAATACTTTGATCTTAACGGCGTGAACGACATTTCAGTTGAACCTTTTAGAATGTATTGTCCACAAGGTTGGTTTGTCAAAGTATGAAAATAATCTACTGACTTATTACCAAGTAAAAGGGGGGCGTCCGTGGCCGAGTGGTTTAGGTCGTTGACTTTAAACCACTTGCCCATCATCGCTGTGGGTTCGAATCCCGACATTGACTTTGGATTCTTTCATGTTAGGAAGCTATCCTGCTCGCTTAAGGAATGTCAGTGGTTCCACTCAGATGCCCGTTTATGCCTGACACATTGCACGGAAGAGCACTTAAAGTCTTCCTTCATCAGTAAAGCTGGAACGTCGCTATATGACATATACTATGTCGATGTTACTTAAAGCCCAATCAAACAAACAAACAAACAAACAAACCAAGTAAAAGCCAATTATAGCGATAATCAGTGAAATAAAAATAAAATTGACCTTCAAGGTCAAGGTCATACATGAGTCAAAGTCAGTTTGAGTTTAATATACATGAAGGTCCTGGTCTAAAAGATGTAGTGTCTTAATATGAAGTTAATCAATTAATATAAAAAAAACAATAAAAGTTATAGCCAGTTACAGAAAAAACAAGGTCACGTCTATATTATTCAATATACCTGTTTGATTGCAAGTCTTGTTTTGTCCAAGTTTAAATCAAATCCGTACATAAAATAACAAAATTAAATAAAATAACAATTTAACCAAAAGTCAAGACTTCGACCTTGACGGTCAAGGTCATTAAAAGCTCAATATATCTGTTGTAGACCGATTAACAAACAAACATTTCAACAAGGCACAAAGTAAATTTCCAATTACAATCAACCATAGCAAAACTTATATTGTTCATAAAAAGTTATGTTTTTCCTCAAGTTTCAATAAACTTGTTCATGAACAAAAATCTATTACTTCCATTTCTACAATGATTTTTCACCTTCAAATATGTTTTTCTATACTTTGCTCGAAAACATCCTAAAGATACGTGGAACTGCCTGTCTTTACATTCAAACGAAGGATATGGTTTCTAAGCCGTCAGGAATACTGGTTATTATAATATCCTGTCCTTTCACTTTTTCCGATATGTTACAACGATATGTGGTATTGTTTCCTTCTAGGCATCCACTGTAATAATAACCATTTTGTTCTTTCCGGGAATGAAACTGTACATTGATATTGTCAGACATATCGATCGGATTCATGAAGATAATTTTATCCCCATTAGTTTCGTAATCACGTCTTTTCACTCCGCTAATGGTGATTCCTTTTACATTTCGAACAAACGTTCCAGTGACAGACTTCAATCTTACAGATTTACTACACAGATCAATTTTGCGCTCAAGATATTGAAGCTGTCTTGAAGAATTGTTATATTGAATATTTAAGGAAAAGCAATCGCTTGTACTCATATGTTGCTGACTATACTTTAACGTCCTGAGGTTTAAAGTAATTTGTGCTCCATTCCGTTCTTCTTGTCTGAATTTTCCCAAAGGTGTCGAACCTTTTGTTGCGGTAAATTGATACAGCATCACTATCTCTTCATTGGTTAGTATTCCAGATGGGGTAACAACTCGCGCAAATTTTTCCATCGGTATGATCGGAAACCTTATCTGATACAAAACTTCTCCAAGCTGATCCCGAATATTTTGTCCAGATTTAGACTCACATTTGTGTTCCGCCCATTTCATTGTTGCTTTAAATATATAAATTTCATCGCACTCTAATTCATCACTTTTAAGAATATTCAACAATGTTGCGTGTGACAAATTAATAAAGCCTGGAGAAGAAAGAACTTTTGTGGCGTTTTTCGTGATGAATGAAAGGCATCTCTCTTTTAGAGGTTCCATTTCATAAAATATTGCCTGCTCTATGATCTGACAAACATTTTTCACGTCGATGTTCTTTTCAAGAAAATCGGAGCATAGTTCAACAAGACCTAAGAATTGGTACTTTTTCGCTGTATACAAACAAGGTAAGACATTTTTACCGTCTAAGTCAGGATTGTCGGAGTAAACATATCTGAAATACATAATTGCAGAAATTAAAATGTGAGAAAATTCATAAGATATAACCTTTTTTCCTGATGATAAAACATTGTACTATGAGTATTTGATCTTAAGTTTCATGTTATGCTGTATCCCAACCAAAATGTGAAGTCTAAAGCATTTGAATCGTAATTTTTCATAAGTACAGAGTCAAAACTCTAGACATCATATTTCTATTCATCCATGAAGATGTGTAAAATAGTAAGTGTAATATATACCTTAAAACTGTTCTCATCACTTCTGGGTTTACATCTTTGAGTGCAACGTATTCTCCTTCCTCTGAAAGTGATCCATAAAACATGGTTTCAAACACTGCGCTTCGCATGCTCAATACAAATTTATGAGCTGGTAGTTTCACACTTTCATCGTCGCTGAAGGTAAAGTAAATGTCAGAAAGATGTTCTGAGAGGCAAAGGTGTGACAAGCATTGTGCAGCCGAGCTTGCTTCCCTCCTGTTACTCGGTGACCTGTGAACAAATAAAGGTGAACAATATGTTTATTAATATTTGAGGAAAAATGACATAAGTCATGGCTTATACTAAAGGGATTTTGGAAGTATTACCTTATTCATCACTTTCAAAATCGAAACAACAATATATGTGTAAATAGTTCTTAAACAGTTTACTGAAGAATTTTATACGCGTATCATAATTTGCGATCATAATATTAATAATATTTTTCATTGTATAGAGATTGTGTTATTGTATGTCGTTACTCGATTTCATGATTAATCACTACTTTACTCATTTTATACGATTTCGAAGCCCTGTTTTAAAGCACTCGTGAAATACATTTTTTAAACATTACATACAGATCATTTGTCTGTAAATGAAGTCATACTTAAATTTCGCTTTATAAACATAAATATATGGGTATCAATTGATCAATGCCATCTCAAATTAAATAGCAACCGGTTAGAAGGAGAATAGATCTTTCAGCATTTGATTACGAAAAATACTCATAGAAACCGAATTTGCAACATCTTATCTCATTTATTACAAATTGTACAGATGAGTACAAAGTTGTTATGTACCGTTTTATTCCATAGCTTTCGGATGATGCTGATAAAGCGTTTCTCATCTTAGCCTGATGTATTAACGCTACATGTGCCATTTTCTTGACCTGCAATCATATTAAATCATATCATAGTTAGCATCTTGTAGTCATAACGTTTGTTTTATTATACGGAAACATCATACACTCCAAACAAATCATCTTAACGAGAATTATCATATATTAATAGTATAGAGCAACGAGAAGATCTAAGCGTGTAAATAAAAGAATAATGACAAATATCTTTAACCCGAGTAAGCTTGGCGTTTGTATTTGCATAGCTTCAATCTTAAATAGTGCAATAATTTTATCTGACATTTACATTACTTTAAGAGGTTTGACCATAGTCCCTATTATTTTCGGCCTCCCTTTAATATTTACATATTTGAAAATGCTTTTAAAAGGATGTTTTTCGTTTGTCGCTGTTCATTCAAAATGATGATGGAAACCGGAGGGAAGTATGTTCTGGAATATCTTAAAAGACAATAATTTGTTTAATATATTGTTGTTAGAAAATATAACTGTCTGATGTAACATTTTTCTTTGCTGGGCATTGTATCTTAGTGACATACACAAAGCGTATTAAATACCTACACATTTGGGGAATGTATTGTTTTTTCAATAATTTGAGGATAAAGTTTGCAAGCATTTTATTTTAAACCTTATATCAAGATGAAACAAGGGTGTGCGTTCTAAACACATTAATTTGTCGTGGTGATATACTGAACATGTTTTTAAGGTCACTAGAACTCTGGGCCACATTCCAGTTTTGCAGCAAAAACATACACACTTAAATAGGAAAATTGAGCAATATTAAAATCTAGAAGATGAAAACACAATTATATGAAATCTAAACCGTATAATCACTTCATAGATACCATCATGTACAATTAAAGTTACATTATGCTAATTATTTCCATGTCAAGTTGAGTTATATTAGAAATAATAATTTAAAACATTGACGATTATAATGGTCATTGACCAATAGCTAATTATAAAAAAAAACGTTTATGAAACATTAAAAAAAAGCCCATATTATTAAAAGACTGTGCCAGTAAAATATTTTAAAATATAAAGTTTCTGATCGATATTTTTAGTTATGTGGATTATTGATCAACTTGACATAGTTAAATATGACATTGACAAAATATTGCCGATTTAAAAAAATCGAGTTATTTGGAATTTTACCTGTCCACTGACTTTTTACACTTGGATAAGCATAATGGTACTTTAATATAAGGTATATGATGCGAGAATGTTTTATGTATTAACAAAAAAGTAATATTAAGTATAATCAACAACACAGGTTAACTTGATATGATATTAAAGACCTATTAATTGACATATTGAATTTTTAGTGAAGTATTCTATAGCTCTTGAAATAAATAGAAAACGTTTTGAAATTTTCTTATTGTTAACTATTAATATTTCTAAAATATTATCTGTTGTATATTATTATCTTTATCTTTCATGGGTAACTAACTTTTTTATTTATAACGTCAATGACAACGTTAACAACATTTAAGGGTCGTTTTCTCATGCCGGAGTTCATATGATTCATTTACGTTTTAAGTTATACATCAAAAACAACAACAATAACAAAGACAATAACAACAGTGCTTACAACAAAGCAATAACCTCAGCAGCAAAATTTCTTACCGTACTAAAGTAACTTGAGTAATTCAGTAGGGGATCTTAAACCATTGACTCTAAATAACAATAAAGTTAATTTAGGATTAATCGCTATAAGGTTGAAGTTTTTGTTATTTTGTAAAATAAATCGGTGATTTATAAACCGTGTCCACCATGTGCAGCTTGAATCATAGGTTTTAAAGTTTAAAAATGATGTACTTTGGTTTTGTAAAATCCATACCTTCCTATTTGAAAAGAAGAAAAGGTTTAAGTAGGGTTTTCTGTCGAATTGAAATAATTTTTTTTCAATTTCTTTTCTTTGCAAGCAAAACAATGAATATCTAATGATAAGCAGTTATAAATACAAATTTTATCTAAATATTAAGTATGGAAATTTGTAAAAACTCCTTTAGACAAGAATGAAATGGAAAAAAGATGATAAAAATATATAAAGATAAAATAATATGATGTTTAAAAAGTAGAATGAAGTAAAACATGTAAGTACACAAGGTGACATTGTAGACGGTTTTAAAGTAAATGGAAAACAATACCTTTTTAAATCATCCAAAAACTAAATAGAAATTGTCCTTCAAGAACTCTAAACTAAATGCATACGTGATATGAACATTGAATACTTGATAAAACAGATTGTGCTAACAGATCGTTAACCTTGCCGTTATCTATATTTACATAAACAATGTTTTAGGGCAGGCATAAAAAGTTAATTACAAATCTTTTGAGAGTTAGAAGGTATAAGATATAAAATTGGCAATGTTTCAAATACAATCTATAAACTTTAATACTTCAATTGTGATACAATTAGAATATTTGGCTAAGAATGACCTTCTGATTTGTAATCTATCACTGAGGTGGTCTAATTTATTTACTAACAGGATACAACATTTGTACAACATTAAAGTTTACATAACGTATTTTGAAATAGAAAACATGTACTGGTCCTATTTTGCCTCATTTACACTCAAAATTATACATAAATTGCGAAAACCTTACATATAGTGTTTCAACAAAGTCCGTGGATAAATATCAATGGATCAGACAAAAGGATGACAAACTCTAGCATCGCCGTTCTATATCGTCTTTTAAATAACATACTACATTCTATTTAAAGCGCGATGTCTCTGTATATCAAAATAAACTTATACAGGAAAATACATACAGATATACAGTTTGATTAAGATTGCAAAGATCAGACAATACCACAAAGCTTGCAGCCCTTTGATTTATATACAACATGATATATCATCATTTTATTACATTTACTTTCCTTGTATTATGTCACGACACACAATTTAAAATCCAGATCATCGAGTTTAATCAAATCCCTTCGTGTCCGTCAACACTTCTTTTCTCATTCTCCTTTGCCGAGACAGTTATTCATCGCTGGAGTGCTGATCTCAAATATTTCAACATTTAAATTTTCGCATTTACAGCAATGTACGGCACTCAGTATAGTTTTTCATCTTTTCGGACGTACAAAATAAGTTTTTGCAGGAGTCAACCGAGATTGTTTACATACTTCTTCTCTGTTAGTTTAAATTGATTGGCTCATATACCAGTGCATGGTACTAATATTATTACTTCGTATGAACTATACGAATGAAAAACAACTATAATCGGCATAATGTAATCGACAATGCATCGTTGTATGAAGTAAAATTCTAAAGAAACAGCAGAAAGCGATTTACGCTGATCATACATTAGATTTTTTTAAATGTCATAAACAACTATTCAATCAACACATTTACTATGTATTCTTAACTTGTTTCTCAAAAACAAATTTTCCTTTTCACACAGTGGTTGATTATTTTTATACATATAGAACAAAGTAATCTATACGTACCTATACAGTTTTTGAAAAAAAATGTTACAAGCTTTATTATTCAAAAATATAATAAACAAAATTTTCTTATTCTGATGACGAATGTGTTTAAATCATTTTATTAACACTAGAAATGTGTCATCATGCCACGGATGCCCCCGCATGCAGCCAAAATTTCAGATGTTATAATATTTAGTTCCAAATTTGTTTGCACAAATTATTGTTTTCATTTTAAGTTCAAAGCCCTTAAAACTTTTCAATGTTAACACAAACCATTTTCATACAATGTTCAAGGCACTGAAATTATTCAGTCTTAACCTTTTGAAAATAGCATATTTCATATTTGTAGCCAAAATAATGGCTACATACATTTCCACAAAAGTATGAGTGCTGAAACTGAAAGTTCAAAATTTTTCCAATATTCAAGAAAGATAAGTTTGTCCAAAATCATTGAACCACGACCAAATTCAAACTTTAACTGCTTATTCCTAAGATGTATCTAAATTATTTTCAAAGTGAAAGGGACATAACTCTGCCAAAAAATCATCGAACCATGACCAAATTCCAACTTGACCTGCCCATTCCTTTGACATATCCATATGTCAAATTTGAGTTGAATATGTAACACTGTTGGGTAGATAATGAACAGAAACTGTAAATTTCATATTATTTTCAAAGTGAAAGGGGCATTACTCTGCCAAAAATCATTGAACCATGACCAAATTCGAACTTGGCCTGGGCATTCCAAAAACATATCCATATGTCAAATTTGAGTTGAATGTGTTGTACTGTTGGGGAGATAATAAACAGAAACTGAAAATTCATATTATTTTCAAAAGTAAAAGGAGCATAACTCTGCCAAAAAATCATCGAACCATGACCAAATTCAAACTTGACCTGTATTTTCTCATGACATATCCATATGTCAAATTTGAGTTGAATGTGTTGTACCGTTGGGGAGATAATGAACGGAAACTGAAAATTTAATATTATTTTCAAAGTAAAAGGGGCATAACTCTGCCAAAAATCATTGAACCATGACCAAATTCGAACTTGACCTGTATTTTCTCATGACATATCCATATGTCAAATTTGAGTTGAATATGTGCAACCGTTACTAAGATAATGAACGGAAACTGATGATGACGGAATGACAGAATGACGGAATGACGGAACAGGGTAACACTATATGCCCGGCCATTACATGGCGGGGGCATAACAATAGTGTAGTTATTTTGGTGAATGTGCTGCATCATCATTTTTGTAACTTACTGTCCAAAACCAAACACACTAGCTTGGAATTTAGGCTTAAAAAATCTTTCCAGTCCCGCATGGTCATTGTTCTGGCTATATTGAAATATAATATATATTTAGTCATGATTTGTACTCAACTTTTAATCATAGACAACATTTCAAAACAGACAATATTTAAAATATGGATCCGGACATAGGGAAGGTCTTTCAGATATCATATGTCCCGCTCAAGGTTTTTGCTTTAGGATGATATAATTCATACATTGAGAACGTTCAAGGATGTCGATAGGCTTCGTTTGAGGCATATTATGAATTTATTAACTGAATATAATTTAATATGTTTGAAACCTTATACTAAAGACAGACACTATAGCAGTGCATTTTATAATTCTCATTAAATACTAAAATCAAATTAAAATATGACATAACGTTAAATTGTAGTGTTGTCATCTTAGTCCTAAAAATGTTGCTTTACAGTGCATAGTTTTGAGTGTTTTTGTGTCATAACCGGTATACACGATGAATCAAATTTCACTTATATTCAGAGACGGATCATAAGAGCTTATCAAATCTACCAATGTGCACGTTTTGCGTTTAATAAGTTAAACGATATTTATAAAGCATTTAAGTACACTGAATAATGATAGCTTTTTTCATCAATTTTCACGGATCTATTATTCAAGAAGCTATACATTATTTTTTTGTACATTTTATATTAAGAGTAAAGTAATGAGTTGATTTTAAAGCGTGGACATATTATATGCAGTTTTTTTAAACACTATCATATCGGAATCTTAATTGCAATGAATGTTCCCCGTTAGAGTTGACTCATTTTACTGTAATAGCCGTTTTTATTTAATGATTTATTAAAGTTGATAACACAATAGTGTTATACCTTTACACAATCCGCACAAAATGATTATATTTGTCTCATTGTCTCTTACAATGTTTACGGTAAAAAAGTCAACAGTACAAAATTGTTTAGTTCGTCTAAATTTAATAGCACATATAAGTCTAATTTTCTAGATGTTAAATGAGTTAGGATACCATGTAATCTTATGAATGAGTAGCATACTGGCCCCTACAGTCCAACTCAAAACAACAGTTCTTCCAGACGACGTCAATGAATTTACTATTATATTATTAAATGTATTCATACACGCGACATTGTTCAATGATTCAGGAAAAAGGAAAAAATAACAAGGTCGACTTAATGTATAAAAGTGTAACATAATATTCAAATTTGCGATAACGAAAAGCAGGTGGATATAAGGTATTAAAGATAAACCCACGTGTTCTTTACACCATCAATATTATTACTTAATTTTTTCTATTTAACTATTTCATATTTTATATCTGAAACAAAACATGCCAATTACACAAACAAACATTACACAGAAAATAGATCTGGCGAAAAGCAAGGCAAATGAAAGCTGTTTCTAACTTTCAAAATGGACCTGAACCATTTTAATTTTTACCAAATACCAGTATATCTCATATTTACGTATATTAAAAAGCATAACTACATAAAAACAAAAAGAAGTTACCTTTTTTATATTGTATCATAGTTTGGAGACCTTTCTGTTGAAAATGTGTCAGGGTTAAATCGTATACATATACATGCACAGTGCGTTAACTGGAGTGCGGGTATTAGTTACCCGCACTCCAGAGCATGCCCATTGATTGGCTCAATTTTGCTGGGGTTTACATATTGTGACGGCAGAGAAAGGGAAAGCGACAGAAATGTCATATTCAGATGTTCGTTCATTGGTTCATTTTTGCCGGGGTTTCATATTGTGGAACAGGGAACGTGCTTTTGTGTTTGACTATGATACAAAAGAGAAAGAACACCAAAACACTCGGCAATCTGATTAATACTCGGGGGCTACGCCCCCTCGTACAAATCAGATAGCCTCGTGTTTCGGTGCTCTTTCTATTACTTACCAATCGCGCAGATTGCTCCACTACTTCCTTTTAAATTTGTTTTTTATCGTATTTTTTACAGATATTTATCCCTGTTTGTTTTAATGAATAAACTTCGACAATATTTGGTAAACTTTAGTCGGATCATAAATGTCCTTGATATTTGATTATTTTGACACTATTCAAGATTCAATATTTCACAGTTGAGAATGTTGTTCAAATTTCATAAAAAAGGTTTATTTGCGTTTATATATATTTTTTTATATTAAAACCAATATGAACTTGAATGAATTATTTTCTTCTTTTTTTCATTTCAAAGCAATTATTCATATAGCTGTATAAAATAATAAATTTTATAAAGAACGTTTTGTTTTTCAGAATTGAGGAATAAATCACATAAGTCATTGTAAAGTTGAGTATGGGATTCTACAAAGACGTATGTCATTGATCCAGCACATTTAAGTGTTGAGAATTGAGTAACGCTCAAGCCGGTGCTTGGGGCGTTTAATTTAATTTTACCCATGACAAATGGTGCTATATCAATTAATATATGCCATTTTTAAGTATGAAAATGAAATATAAATATGAAAGTGGGCGGAGTCAAACTAGTATTTAATTTAAGAGATTTCTTTCTCCATTTTGTTTGTAAAAATTGATAAATAAAAAAAACAACTTTTGTGTTTTGAGTTTTGAAAACTATCTAGAATGATAGACAATGGTCTTAGTAAATGAATCTTAACACCAATATCTTTAATTCAGCAATAACCGCTGTACAGACGTTTTTTTATTTGCGTGACGTCACAATGTATCGCCAAACAGTCAAAACAAGACTGCTATTTCAATGACCAAACCGATTAAAGTTCACTTTTATTTCACCATTTCTGCTTTTCGTTTGAAAAATATAAATTGTAATAGAATAAACACACAAACATTGTATGTGTATTGAACCGCGTCATGCATCTATTAATAATCAATATATTATTGTGCGCTGTAAAATTGCAGTGGCGTAGCAAGCAAGTGGATTCGTTACCATTTTTCTTTGAAAATGAAATTAAATAAACGGTTATCACTTTTTTGTCTTTTTTTGTGAAATATGGTATATATTTACACTCACTATGATGAAATGCTACATATTTTCATTCGCAGTCCCGGCTCTTGAAAAAATGTGACATTTTTTTAGTTTTCGTGAAAATATAATCCATATTTCACGAAAAACGAAAAATATCTACTTAATAGTTTAACGGTTTTATCAAAGGAGCTCATTATTCGCAACTTTCAAAATCAAAACAAAACATAGTTACATTGAAAACTCCCTGAAATCGTGATTGTAGTAATATTTGACTGTTCTCTTTTTATAATAACAGAACATACTTCTTTATCACAGTTCATGAAAAATGATGACAACCGGAAGTAAGCAGGTCGTCGATGAATATCAAAAAGAACGTTTATTCGTATTAGCTGTTGTTGTACATAACAGGGTTTGACTGTATGACGTAACAGTGTCATTGCTATGAAATGCAACTCCATAAAAGGATACAATCTTAATTAATGCTTTTACATTTGAGAAACACTGAATTAGTTTTTCCAGTTACTTTTCGATTGAACTAAGATATGCTGGTATTTGTTTTCATATTAAAGATATTATCAAGAGATAAAACAATAAATATAGATATAAAAAAAATTGTTAAATGAAAATTTTGAAACATCTATAAACTCTTTTGTGATACAAAAAATAAAACTCACCTAAATAAAACTCTCCTCTAAATATTCTAAATTTTGATATTTCAAAAGTCAGATCTTTTTTTCCGAAAATTACACTTTATCTCTTAAATAGATAGTTTCAATGACATGAAGTAGTGCATGTCATAAATGACCTTCCCCATTTTCGGAAAACTATTGTTTGTCACTGTATGTGTGCTAAATATAGCTATTGACTATATTGACATGCAGTACTTCATGTCATAAATGACCTTCCCCATTTTCGGAAAACTAATGTTTGTCACTGTTTGTGTGCTAAATATAGCTATTGACTAGGTTAGATAATATAGAAAATGTTTTTGTGTTCACATAAAACCTAGAAAAAATCTTGGCTGCTTTCCAACAGAAATTGTGAAATAAGATTTATAAGATGAGAACAAATATGAAATCTTAACCCTGTAATGACGTTACATGCATAGATTAGATACTAATAAACGTTTATAATGGAAAATACAGGCATTTGATATGAGAGAATATTTTATGTATACACAAAAATACATTTGAATATAATTCATGGTATATTTTTACTTTGTATTATATTGAAGAAAGAAAGATCAATACTGTTCGCATCTTTTCGCAAGTCTTTGGACACAATAGTATGAATGCACTGAACTTGTTTCTTTTGATTTACTGGAGTGTGCCAGCAGATGACATACTGCTTTTAAGCCTGGTGTTGCTTTAAGTTTTAAACATCCGATGTAAGCCAAACTCATTTTTATTTCAATATGTTCTGTTTTACACGGTTGACATATACAACAATATATTGCATCTGCATATTTTACTACAGTATGTACTTTGATGCATTCTTCATAATTATGTATTGTATCTGTAAAATTTAAAATATTTTATTATACGTTATTCAAAACCATATCTATAAATGTTTGAAAGTCTCTCTCAATCTTAACTTTAGTCGATGAAGTCGTTTTTTAACAATAATATGCTATTATATATTTTTTTCATAACATAATATCACACTAAGTAGCGTTTCGCTCCATAACACTTAAGATAAAAATTGTATTAAAAGAGAAATATTTGTTCTTCTTAAAAATATTTGTTTTTCTTAAAATATAAATCATATTAACGAGACAAATTCATTATACTTGATTTAAGGTGTAGGTTGAAGTCTGCTTTAGCTCGTGATCATCAATTAAGAAGGAATGTTGACGATAATGTTGATTTAAAAGCGAGTTTAAGGTACTAAATGTTTCCTTTATCTTACGCGGCCCAAACTTAAATGGTCTCGTATAGCAGTTTATGTCTACACTGAAAGGATTATTGTACAAATATTGTTTAACATATTCTTTTTAAAGTGTGTATGTTTACTTAAGCATGCATTTACTACTGCAGTCGATAAATACTTCCTTGTTCGCCAAGCTAAAGATCACGTGCTATACCTTTGCACTTTAACGGGCCGCACAGATTTATATCTAATACGAGTTTCGAAAAGATAGCTAGTGTGATAAATAAATAAATAAATAAAACAAAATATAAATATATACATAAATAAATAAAAAACATTGGCAAAAAACAAAGATTATGGTAGACAAAGGTAAAATGAAAATGGTAGGAAACATATACGGTCATGGTTTCGGCAACACTTAATTTTCATTCATTCAGTTCTGAGATTTATCATTGTAAAAATATATTTTAATTAAAGCTAGACGAACTTCTAGAAAAAAAGGATCGACTTCCGAGAAGAGATCAAACAGGTGTAAAGTCGGCGTTAAATGCACAAAAAGGAAACAAACAAGATGCCTAACAAATTTAAAGTATGAAGTTGTTGAAAGAAACATGTTCATGAATGATATTCTTAGACTTAAAGCATTCTATAAACATTATTACTGATTTGCCATTGTCAATAGCTTCAAATGTATTAGTGCTTGAAATCTTCTTATCAGATATGTATTCTTATCATAATTTTTGAGTTATGCCTTTCGTACAATGAACAATTCTAGTTTCCAATTCAGAAACACTAACACACTTTATTTGCAAACAAATGTGATATTTTCTAAGCCATCTGGAATGTTGTTGATTGTGATCAATTGTCCTTTAATATTTTCCTGTTTGTATAAATAATTTGAAACATAATTTGATTGCCTGTAAGCGTTTTCGTTCTCAAGAAGAAACTGTATGTTAATTGAACCGGTTATGTTGATAGGAGTTTTGAAAGTAATTTTTTCTCCCACAATTTCGTAATCAGTGCTTTTTGTCCCCCCAATATAGATTCCCTTTACATATCCGACAAAAGTTCCAGTGACAGACTTTATTCTTGCAGACTTTTTCTTTGGACTATATTGTGCAGAGCCTGCCTGGTTCGCTGATACAGACTTGTTACATTCTTGTATATTCATATAACAACCACTCATCTTACCCCTTTTCTGACTATACTGTCCAAGGGCAATTGTGATCGGCGCTCCTGAACGTTCGCGTGCACAGAATTTTCCCAAAGATGTTGAAACTTTTGTTGCATTGTACTGATAAATCATGAGTAACTCTTCCTTTGATAGGATTCCAGACGAAGTTACAATTTGTGCAAATTCCTCTATTGGTATTATCGGAAACCTTATCTGAAACAATGCTTCTCCAAGTTGATTGCGCAGAGTTTGTCCATCTTTCGACTTGTTTTTATGTTTACTTTTGTCCTTCGCCCATCTCATTGCTGCTTGAAATATCTCAATTTCATCACCAGCTAATGCATCATCCTTGAGAATGTTTTGTAATATTGCGTTCGATAGGTCTGAAAACCCCGGCGAAGAAAACACACTTGGCGCATTATCCGAGATGTATGTATGTATGCATAAAACATTTCTTTTGTAGCGGTTTCAGTTCATAAATAACGGCCTGCTCATGAACAAAACAAACGTTATCAATGTCAATATATTTTTTTTCAAGGTAGTTCGAACATTGGTTTATGAGGCCAGGCAAGTTGTATTTTTTCGCTGCATACAAGCAGGGCAAAGCATTTTCTTCATTGATCTCTGGATTGTCTGTATAAACAAACCTGGAATTTATAAAATGATAAAAGCTTCCATGTCATAAGTGTGTCCTTTCAGTTTTTAGGTAGAACATACTAGATACTCAGCTTAACCTGATAAACAAGATTTGTATGTTGCAGCAGTTTAAAATTACATCAGACTAAAAGTGCAAATTCTTTACTTAGATGGGGTTTCGTCGAGCAAGCAAGGACATAATAATACGGCCTATAATTTATGACCTTGTGGTGAAATTAAATCTTTTGGTGACTTTTAATTTCCAAAATACATAAATAACCATTTGTGGAATCATAGCTTTATTTAAGACTTTTTTGAACCTTATTCAAACTCCTGTACAATACGCGTGATTCACATCTTAATCTTGTCTAGTAAAATCAGTCAAGAAAACAACTGATAAAAACGTGTTGAGTTACACTGAATGTAGAATTTACTTACACTTTGATGTTTTTTTTATGTCTGTATAACTAGTAGATATCAATATCTTAAATATCTCTCTAAATTTTAAAGTAATTACTTATATGTTCAACAATTTGAGCTATAGTTACCTTAACATAGTTTTCATCACTTCAGGTTTTATGTCTTCAATTAACACCGTTTCTCCTTTTTCTGCAAGTGAACCATAAAACATGGCTTCAAACACTTCACTTCGCATGCTCAGTAGAAATTTATGAGCCGGAAGCTTTATTTTGTGATTGTCCTTGAAAGTAAAGCTGGTGTCAGAAAGGTATTCTGAGAGGCAGAGGTGTGACAAACATTGAGAAGCCGTTCTTGTTTCCCTCCAGTTTTCTTTAGGCAACCTGAGAAATGGATATATTGATACAATCAATTCCTAACATTAATTATGTTTATACATGCCTAGATATACTTAAGTTAAAATCCTCGTACATACTCTCTAAATAAATATGTATATAATAATAATAATAATAATAATAATAATAATAATAATAATAATAATAATAATAATGATTATAATAATAATTATAAAAATATAATGATAATAATGATAATATAATAATTAATAATAATAATAATTTTTTTTTTTAGAGAAGGTAACACATTACGAATATACTACAGCAACCTATATATCTTATTTCCGATGCGGCCTTCTAAAATAGACAGAAACAACAGCAACAGAACATGCATATAAGTACAAAATGACATAAAATGTGTACATTCTAGGTAAGATTATTCAAATTCTTCCGGTAGACACTCAAAAATTTGTTTAAACATATACGTACATTTTATCAATCATTCGTTCGTTCGTAATTTATGCAAGTATTTGCAATGGATGCAACGAAAAATATATTTATGAAGCCAACGATCTAAGCAAACGCATGACATTTCATAGACAACAAATCAGTAAGAATCATAAGGATAGGTGACCACATGAACAACTGCGGAAGAGAAGAGACACGATTCGTAGTTATTCTGTCCTATTGAAATTAATATAAACTGACAGTTTGTATCAAGAAAGAAAAAAGAACATACTTTTATACAAATGTTGCAATCAAAACTTAATTGACAGTTTTGACAACACATAGATATATAAATATATTGCCTAACTGCAAGAACGGATCTTAAACATTATTAATTTTGTTGCTAAAGATGATCTTGAAAACCAAAAAAAAAGTAAAAATGAAACTTTGATTAAGAAAGTTTTATAAACCAGGTGTGAAAGAATGATATAAATTTGAATAAAAACAAAATTAAAGTAACGGCATTTGGCATAATTAAATTTTCAAAACAACAAGTCTTCACGGGAGAATTAAAACGTAACGTTTAAAATTGACGGTTGGTCAACGATCCTATGATGATTAAGCTAACCGAACACATTCAATCTCGATGTATAGATGTGAAATAAACGCAAAACGTTTTGGAGGGATGGTCCTTCAACCCTTTACTCTTGAGTCCCAACCTAATGAATCCGTTAATTTTTTTGTACCTGCCAACTCCAGATGAAACCGATTTTCCCTCACATGACGACTTACCGGAGCGAGCTGTCCTCTTTGACATTTTGTCTGACCTATAAAAAGAAAAAAAAACAATAAAAACAAGAAGAAAAAAAAAAACGAAAAAAAAACAAAAAAACAACAACATGTACCTGATAGATAAGCAGGTGACTAAACATGTACTTTCTCTGTTTATCCCTTTTCAAAATTCAAAACTAAATATATTCAACTCTTGAACTTCCTTTTACTTTTTTTTTCAAATTGAATAACTCATACAGCTTAAAGAGTATAAAGCTATGTTTGATTAAAACTATTTTTATGAACAATAAAAAAAGTAAAAATAATGTTATTTCAATAACCTAATGGTTAATTCTTGAATGAGCTGTAACGTAAAAGATTTCTTTATTTAACACATTCATATGAATAATGTTAATAAAGTTTTATAGAATAAAACGTTTTAGAACAAAATGAAACCTGCAGTTTAAATTTAGGACTTAAATAGTTAAGCAATGCCTTTGAGCATGCACCATGCGCCCATAAAATTACAATACAATTATAATTAATTTCATATAGATATTCTATTCTTTGGATTTATTCTATTTGAAAACTAAAAAATTTGTTTTGGAAAACTCTTTCTTGCAGAAATATAGCTTTATATACATGTCCTTTATAGTTTAATAGTGATAAATGTGTCCATTGTATTTCAATCCAGACATTTCATGGCATTAAAATAATGTAACGCATAGCTTACCTCGATTATAAATTATCTGCCCATAAAATATTCAAAATATCAAATGTCAGCACAACATAATTTATGACAGTGCTATATGATATTATATAAATAACGCATGGGTTTGTGGGTAACAGTAAAAGTATCATATTTCCATTGGAATATACTGTAAAAATAAAGTTTTTTTACGAAGGATGATAATATTACTGTTACTTACATAACAATGTGTTATACACTTTATTACCCTGATCAATAACAATGATGATTCTTTCATTATAATTTTATTTTATTTTCTTTAGAAAATAGACCATGTGACCAGATTTTATACTTACTCACATGGCATACTTGGATTAACAGTATAAATAACTTCCAGTGGCCTAAGGAAAATTAAAATTACACAAAAATGAGGGGTAATAATTATATTAGTTTTGCTAAAATCAAAAAATAAAATCATTCAGGCATAAAAAATAATGTTCCGTAAATAACATTTTTTTGTTATTGCGTTGAATTTTCATTTAAAAATAAAATGATTTAAAGTGCACACATTTTATATTATGTCTTAATTTGAACCATGAAATTTTTTAAAATGAAGTTTTTAAAGTAGTCCAGGAATACCGAAATTAAAACAAATGAAAATTACAAAACACACGATGAGTATCGAAAATTATGTTTTAAGATAAGCAACAATTAGTTTCAGATAAATATGCAATTCATACACATCTACTATTACAGAAATAGAAAAATGTAAGACAAGAATTTACCTTTTCGAATCAGTCATACAACAGTTTACTGTTGAACTGTGTCCTAATGTAGATGAACATGTCTGTTTATTCTAATTTCGATCAATATTCTTGTTCAAATATTAAATATTGAAACTAAAGGCTTGATTATTATATAAATTCAAAAGCAGGTAGTTTTAACTTGAAAAGGATTTTTCCTGCACGTACCGGTATCAGTGTCTACTTTAATAGCAACTAATGATTATCGATATCTTAATCTATCCTTTTTGAAACGGTTCGTGTATACGTTATTTCCCAAAAATGTAAATATAATATATTTGTTACTTTAGTTTTCAGAAAAATAAAGGCTTGTTTTAATTTAATAAAACAACTTCTTCTAAAAATTCTTCCTACTGGCAAAATAAATTTTTTAATAACTACTGGTTGAGGCCTTATTTCATTCAACGTAAAATTTTGCCCGGCCTCCATGTTATATTTATAATATAGGAGTTCTTAAGAGTCCTAAAAATACATATACTTTACAGTATAAATAAGTTCACACCTTTTAATATATATATAGATGCCATCCTCATACATACTCTATAAATTATTATAAATTTTATCATTTAATATAGAAGACTGTCGATTCAAAACAAAATTGTTTCTTTTATTTATTACAGAATTAGAGATTTTCCTGTAATTATCATCGTATACAGTAACAGACGGTGAAACCTAAGGATACGCTAATCAGGTTTATTCGGACCGCTGACAGAAAAGGTGGCAAAACCATATTGAAAACGTTACGGGAGATAGTCCGAAATATCTTGTTGATGTAATTGTGTCTCCAAGTGTATTTTATATATGATACATCAAAAACTATATGTATTATATATTTATTAGGTCTGGATGCAAGTAAGGGGTCATAAAACAGTGTAAAGTTTGATGTAAAACTACAATAAAATCAGGCAAATGCTTAGAAACAATAAAGCTTGTTTAAAGCGACACGCATCCAGTTGGTAAAATAAAAAAAAGAAATACAATTTCAAGTAAACGTTTAATTAAAAATTCCATTATTACTGACATCTTAATTCAAGAATATTGACAAAAGCATCAATATATCGCGTTTCATCTTAGCATAATCTACCTCGTTACTAACGCAGTAGCCAGTGTAAATAGGAGAAGATAATTCATTCAACACGGTCACGTGTCACAACAGAGGTTCGGAAAAATCTCGGTATCCGTTACTGCCGGGGTCGTTCATCATATTTTGTCAATGAGTAGGCCCTAATTATGTTTCAAGCTAAAGTTTAAATCGATTTATTACCCCTCACTTTTTTCGTAATGCTAATTTCCCATAGGCCTCTGAGAGTTATTCTTACTGCTAATGCAAGTGTACCACGTTACCAAAAAAATTATACTGTTACATGGGAAACAGTACGTGTAAACAGTATAAAATCTGGTCACGTGGTCTATTCTTTAAATAAAAATAAAATAAAAAGGCCGCCATTTTTTATCGATTCATTGTTATTTTCGAAGTTTACTACTACAGGGCATCACTAGATTTACTATGACCACCCATATAATTTAGTTGCTTGCACCATGGAGTGCTTTTCGCGTATAAAATATATTTTGTTGAATAGTCCAAAAGTAAACATCCGTTTTCACCGGAAGTTATTGCAATGTGAATAATTATGTATCAAACTTGAATATTCAGACGAGTTTAGGATTATTTAACAATTTTAATCAGTGAAACATTACAGACATACTGGAATGACATATGTAGGATATCATCGTTATTCTGAAAACAATTAGGTTAACCATGCGAAGAATATTCTGGATACAGAAGGATCAGATTTCACTCATCATAACCGTATATATGGGTTTGTGTTTTGTTTTCTAAATAAAACACAGCTTATTGTATGTTAATGACTGGTAGATATCATCATTTGCTTAAAAAATAAATGAAAACAAGAACCGGTTGAACCGGGTGATGCTCCCCGAGAAGGTTCTGGACACAGGAAAGTAAAAAAAAAATGAACAAAGGGCAAAAACTCCAAAATCAGGCAAAGCGGAGTTATGTTTTTTTTGCACTGCACTTCTATTCAATGAGATCTATCTATCTATAAAGTTTCCTAATGATATCAGAGTTATGTTCCGGGTTAAAGTCAAAGTGTAAAAATGAACAAAGGGCAATAACTCCAAAATTAGACCAGGCTTTGTCTAGGTTCTTTAATCATTGCAGTTCTATCCAATTATATCTAGCTACCTACAAAGTTTCATGTTGATATCTTTAATAGTTTTAAAGTAATGTCCAGGACAAAAGTCAAAAAGTAAAAATAAACAAAGGGCAATTTCTTCAAAATAAGGCAAAGCAGAGTAATGATTCTTAAGCACTGCACTTCCACCCAATGAGACCTATCTATCTACAAAGTTTCATGTTGATATCTCTTATAATTTTAGAGTAATGTCCCGGACAAAGTTCAAAGTGTCAAAATGAAAACAAAGGGCAATAACTCCAAAAGTAGGCAAGACAGTGTTACAGTTCTTGTGCACTGCAAACTTACTCAATGAGATCTATCTACCTACAAAGTTTCATGTTGATATCTCTTATACATTAAGAGTTATGTCCCGGACAAAGTTCAAAGTGTAAAAATAAACAAAGGGAGATAATTCAAAAATTAGGCAAGGCAGAGTTAAGTTTCTTGTTCACTGCACACCTACTCAATGAGATCTATCTACCTACAAAGTTTCATGTTGATATCTCTTATACTTTGAGAGTTATGTCCCGGACAAAGTTCAAAGTGTAAAATAAACAAAGGGGGATAATTCAAAAATTAGACAAGGCAGAGTTACGGTTCTTGTGCACTGCACACCTACTCAATGAGATCTATCTACCTACAAAGTTTCATGTTGATACCTCTTATACTTTTAGAGTTATGTCCCGGACAAAGTTCAAAGTGTAAAATAAACAAAGGGGGATAATTCAAAAATTAGGCAAGGCAGAGTTACGGTTCTTGTGTACTGCACACCTACTCAATGAGATTTATCTACCTACAAAGTTTCATGTTGATACCTCTTATACTTTTAGAGTTATGTCCCGGACAAAGTTCAAAGTGTAAAATAAACAAAGGGGGAAAATTCAAAAATTAGACAAGGCAGAGTTACGGTTCTTGTGCACTGCACACCTACTCAATGAGATCTATCTACCTACAAAGTTTCATGCTGATACCTCTTGTTGTTTCAAAGTTATGTCCCGGACAAGAAAAGGGGACAGACGGACGGACGGACGGACGGACCGAAAGACGAACGGACGGACGGACGGACAAGGCGGCGAGTATATGCTCCCCCGAAATGTTTTCGGGGAGCATAATAACCCCCAAGTTTGCCTACTGTACAGTACACTTAAAACTTAAAATGTAAGGACAGTTTAGTTATATTTGATGCTTGCTTACGAATTGCAGCCTTAGTAAAGTGAATATCATTGGTCTTGTTTAAGAATTTAAGCCTAAGTAACATTGTTATCAATGGATATTTTATTTGACAGTCACATAATTGGCATTTTGTGTTTTCAAAATCGGTTGTAAAAGACTTAAATTCTACATGCATTCCATTCGTTACTATGGTACTACTTTAAAAGTGTTTGCAATTAAGTTGGATTTCCAGGGATATCATCAACCTCGTTTTTTGAGTGATCTTGCTTTTAACAATTATGTCTGCTATAATTAAATGGTCGATTCTCGAAAGAGCTGTTACATAAAAAGAGTTGCTTTTTAACACATATGAATATTGTTAATAAAGTTTAACATTTTAAAACGTTCCAGAACAAAAGGGAAACTGCAGTTTTAATTTAGGACTTTAAATAGTAAAGCAATTCCTTTGAGCATGCGCCATGCGCCCATAAGGAAATAACGATACAATAATAAGTTCTTTTATATAGATATTCTATTTTATTGACTTATTTTCTTTGACAATTAAAACATTTTTGTTTTTAAAAACTGTATGTTGCAGAGATATAGCTTTATATACATGTACGTTAATACTTTAAAAACATAATTTTACTAATGAAAGATACTTTCTATTGTATTTCATTCCGGGCTTCCGGGCATTTTATGGCATTAAATTGAACCTAAGTTTTCCCATCATTCATTCAATTTAATTTGGAGGACTAAAATGTCTTTAAAAGTATGTCTTTTCCTTTTTTAATTGACATACCTTTTAAGAAGTTAAAACATACATACTAATGATACCAATTCTTGAAAGTTAAACGTTTCACAATCACTCGATAGGAAGTCAGCTACATGTAAAGAGGAAATGTAACGCATAATTAACCTCGAATGTAATTTACCTGCCCTTGGAATAGGCTAAATATCAAATTTCAGCACGACCCAATTATGACAGTGGTTTAGGTTATTAATAGACAACAAATGGGTTTGTGATTAACAGTAAAAATATCATCCATTTTGTAAAAATACAGTATTTTTACAAGGTATGATATTTTTACTGTTACTTACAAACCAATGAATTATTTATTCTATTACTCTGAACAATTACTGTGATGAAATGTTTTATGATGATTTTATTCTATTTTCTTTAGAAATAGATCATGCGATCAAAATTTAAACTCAGCCACATGGTACATTAACACTATAAATAACTCCCAGTGGTCTATGGAAAATTAACATTACACAAAAAGTGAGGGGTAATAATTATATAAGTTTTGCACAAACCGAAAAATAAAATAATTCAGGCATAAAGATAGTCCTCTGTAAATAACAAAAGCTAAATAATAATAAATTTCAAAAACAAAATTGTGCGAAACAGAAAGTAACTCAGGAATACCGAAATTAAAACAAATGCAAATTACCAAAAAGCACAAATTTTCATCGAAAAGTATGTTTCAAGATAAGCAACAATTACAATTGCATTTTTATACACATCTACTATTACTGGAAGAGAAAAAAGAAAGAAAAGAAATTACCTTTGTGAATCAGTCATACAACTGTTTACTGTTAAACTATGTCCTAATATATGTAATCATGTCTGTGTACACGTAGGAGTATTTCGATCAATATTCTTTGTTCAAATATTAACAACTAAAGGCTCGATTTTTACGCCGATTTTAAAGAAGATAGTTTCAAATTAAAAACAATATTTTTTTGCGACGGTATCATTGTTAACTCGAAAAGCAAACAATGATTATCGGTTTTACTCTATCTTTTTTCAAACTATTTTGTGTATAAGTTATCGCACATTATGTATATTTGTTTGTTACTTTAGGTTTAAATTTACAATTCTTCTGTTTTATATACTGGCTTGTTTAAATGACAAAAAAGCTTCGCCATACTGGAAAATTTAAATCATGAAGGAACGAACTACAGGTCGATATATTATTCACTACAAAGTAAAAACATTCCCAGTAACCATGTTAATAAGTTTAATAAGTACCATATATACATATATACTTCTAAACATTTAGATATTTCTTTATATATTTCTTTAACAAGTACCGCTTAATCAAAGTTTGGAGACCTTACTATTGAAAAGTGTCTGAGTTGAATTGTATACCCCTACATGTACAATGCGTTAACTTGACAGCAATTATTATGTACCCGAACCCCAGTTACCGCGTTGTATATCGGCAACAAAAAATATATATAAAGCATGTGTCGTTGATTCTGGGATTTACTTATTGTGACGACCGAGAAAGGGATAGCGATAGTCGTAATCAGGAAACGAATCAATACTTCATCTTATCTTTTGTGAAAACTTTAATAGAATATATATAACTCATCTATTATTGCCTATTTATTCAGCTGGTAAACACTGAGAACACAGACAACACAGACAAACACATCTGAGGCTTTAGGGTATGCAATTTATTGCTAATCGAACACATCTGTTAAAGCTTCCAATCACCATGTATAAATGTTGTTTTAGGTTAAGCCGGTGGAACGGGCGTGAACGATAATTAGCACCACTACTGATTTCCATGATTAGGGCAGTGCAACGTTTCTAATCTTGCTGTTTTGTGTTTTTTTTTTGGGAATATGTATTTTTATCTATCTCATAGGAACAATTTGATCGAAGCATATTTCAGGGACAAATAATCAGAGATTCCAGGCAACCAAGACCGTAATGCTATCTCTTCATCATGTGGATAATCAACTATAGCACAAAGACCTTAACTATACAGATATTAAAATGTATTTCATTATTTCAATTTACAGATCCCTACTTTCTGTTACTGTAACAATAACGTAATTGTGAAATTCTTATCGAAATTCTTATCGAAAAGGACTTATCAAGTAATTTGAATTAGACAAGTTATGATCAATTACGAATCTTTCAATTAGATTTGATGTCAAAGATAGTATCCTATTGTTTATGAAAGCCATATGAGACTCAGTAAGTGATGTGCTTCAGACCTAACAACACTTTGTTAGCAAGAACTTTCAAAAGTAATTAAACAAAGATGTCATCGCTTAACTTCTGCTACGTATATAATAGTATATTAATTTATAGCATATATAAACGGGACCGCCGATCGACTTTAAATATTGCCGGGTAGTCGAATAAAGGACTGTCGAATACGGGGTCGGACGGCATTATAATTTCTGCATTACTATGTAACTGTTAATAGTACTACAGCAACCTGTAAAACTTGAACTATCTTGCTCTCTCGACATCAAAACAAGTTCGGTATGAGTGTTAGGAATACATACTCATGAAATTATTGAGATCAAATCATGATTACTTATACACTCTTTTGATTATTATTGTTCTATTAATAGTAAATTAATGCAATATTTTAATTAGACCTTTTTCCTACTTGTTGAAAGTTTTGTTATTTTGAAAAACAAAATGAAATTAAGGAAATGTTGAGTTTTTAAAAAAGCCAAAACGACGTTTATTATCTTTAATGTTTTTATCTTTAATTTTCATGTAATCCGAGTTATGTATTATACATTCATGTTGATAACTCAAGATGTGTCAAAGTGCAAAGAGTTAAAACCATGTGTACATTATAGAATGTGCAAAGACCATTATATTAAGATAGCTAAAGGGGGTGGATTGCAGTTAAAAGTCGAGGTTGGCAGAAATATTACATCTTTATTGAAGTCATTATTTTTCTCTGACGCTAGAGTGAAGGGGCGGATTTTTTACTTTTAGGTTAAACATCTAGAATGTAAGTTTGTAAGTTTCCTTTTTCTTTATATTTTACCAAATTTGTAAACTCTTAATCTGCATTTCTATATTAGTAATACAACGCTAATATTTGAAACAAATTAAGTCTTTAATAAGTATGGTCCTGAACGTCATCGAATAAATACTTTTCCCTTATACAGAACTTGTTTCATAATAATAATTTCGAAGCAATGTGTTTGGTCTATATGTCAGATGAAGAAAGTGACACTATTTCTATTTCCGATTTAAACCTGCCGATGTGCTACTGCACGGCAGCAAGTTTGAAGATCCGTGTTGCAGCTGTTAGTAGTAGCCATGTACGTCATTTCAATGTCGTGATATATTCTTTGTTCCTACGGTATAATTGATTTCAGTACTTTATGTTGAAGATTGAATTTCTCTTAGACGGGTGCTATAGACGGGTGCTAAGGAGCGAGAGAGATGTTGCACTTTTACACATTCTCTCATGAACAGACTTAATCATACCGAGTATACTATTTACATATCCTTTTGTTGTTATCAGTGTTTCTTCGGTATCTTCCATGCTCCGGATTTTTACAAGTAATATAATAACTAGGTTAAAATATTTTCTTTTACAGTGTGACCTACAGGCATGATGTTTTTTCAACGATTTCTGCTGATCACAACAGTCGCTGTTACTACTTCATCTCTTGAACCCACAAGGTAACTATCATACTTTTTAATGTCGCGACTCATTTTGTCTTGAATCTTAGGTGAACAATAGAAAGAAATATTGAAAACTTTGTCCTTAATTTGTTTTCTCTTTTCTCTTTTTTTTCCTCACAAACATTGAAACGTCGAATAAGTACATATTAGTGATCAGTCTTACTAGAAACATTGACGGGGATGAATATTGGTAAATTTAGTTAGCCAGTTTTTTAACAGATAGAATATGAATTGCTAAGAATATTATTAAATTCATATTTAAGTCATGTAAATGCATATTTTCTTTCCGATATAAATATGTATTTGATATATTTAACATCTCTTCATAAAGTTTTCTTGTGGAAAATGATATAGTAATGAGGCAAGCAGTTGAAACAATTTGATTACCTTTACCAAATTTTGGCTCATATATTTTTTTCATTTTTTTACTAAAATACTGTCCCGTGTAAGACAACTCGTCAAGTATGTCTTTAAAACAAATACATTGTTGTAATGTAAATTCGTAACCATGAAGATTAAAACAAATATATGTAAACTGCTACAACTTCTTCGACATATTGAATACATGTTTCTATATAGACATACTGTACTTTTTTGATAGACTTGTTTTGATTTTGTGTGTTATTTGTTTTTTTTCTTTGTTTTGTCAAGTTTTGATCGCTTTATTATTTTTTTTTAAAAGATGAATGTTTAAATTAGAAAAGGAAATATTGTGTATACGAATAAAGCATCCATGAATAAATTTATTAATACATTTTACCGCTGAAGCTAAATATTCAACTTAAGGAAAATCGTACTTATTAACTTTTTGCCATTCATGTAAAAGAACAAACGGTATTTCAATATAATCTCTTTACTTATGTATTTCTATCTGCTGTTTATACATCTAAGCATGATATATAAAATGTTGATGATAAAATCATTAAAAAATGAACATTATAGACTCCAGTCGGTAAACACAAACTTACAAATGAATCTTTAGTCAATATAATATGTCTTCAACTGAAATATGTACTTTTAATGTAAAAGGTTTAGCATCGACAAACAAACGTGACCGTGTTCTGTGTTGGCTTAACCAACAAAAAATTTCAATAGCGTTATTGCAAGAAATTCATTATAACTCAAACACTGATGATACAGAAAATTGGTCGGCAAAGTGGAACGGAAAATCTTCCTTAAGCAGACATAGTACAAACAGCTTAGGCGTCGGTATCTTTATTAATACGTCTTGTAATTGTAAAATTTTAGAATATCAAGAAATTATTGTGGGCAGAATGCAACGAATTAAACTAGAAATTTAGGAAAAGGTGATAAATATATTCAACGTTTATGCTCCAAATAACGACGATATCAATTTTTTCAATATATTAGAAACCAATCTTGATAAATTTAGTGACGAAATACTACTAGTTGGCGGAGATTTTAATACTGTTATTAATCATTCTTTAGACAAACTAAACGGTAAAAGTGATACAAATAAACGAACTTCTAAAATGGTTAATGAACTAATTGATACATTTGATCTTTGTGATGTTTTTAGACTACTTAATCCAGAACGAAAACTTTTTACTTGGCACTCTCATAATAACCCACCAATTTTCTGCAGACTCGACTATTTTCTTTTTTCCACTTGTGCTCTTAATTCAGTAACAGACTTTCAAATAAAAACTGGTTATAAATCAGATCATTCTATTGTGATTATGCATCTAAAGTTTATTCAATGTAAAAAGGGCCCAGGATACTTTAAACTTAACAATTCGTTACTTTTAGACACTGATTATCAAAATAAAATAAAATCATCAATACAAGAAATAGTGTCATTTAATGACCAAGCAAATCCAAACGTATTATGGGAAATAATTAAGGGCAGAATAAGAGATGAAACTATCAAATACGCTAGCATTAAAAAGAAAAATGATCTTAGAAATGAGCATGAAATTAATTCTAAAATTAGGGATCTGGAAAAAGAAATTGAGTTAAATACAAGTAATAATATTTTAATAGAAAATCTTAAATCTGAAAAAGCAAAACTTAATGATCTTATTGACAAAAGAATTAAAGGTATCCTGCTAAGAAGCAAAGCTGAATGGGTGGAAGGGTCAGAGAAAAACACAAAATATTTTGCTAACCTTGAAAAGAAAAATGCTGAACAAAAAATAATTAGCCAACTAAAAGATAATAGAAATAACATTGAAACGAATCAAAACAAAATTTTGACTAAGATTAAAGATTTTTATGAACGTTTATATAAAAAAGACTTACAAATAGAAGATTGCGAAGATTCTATCTTTTTCGCAAATGAAATAAATACTTTAGAACAAAATAATGAATATGTAGAAAATGGTCATCTTACAGATTACGAATGCGGAATTGCTCTTAAAGACATGAAAAACAACAAAAGTCCTGGAAGTGACGGTATAACTGCTGATTTTTACAAAATATTTTGGAATGATCTAAAACAATATCTTATTAGTTCTCTAAACTACTCTTATGATAACGGAAATCTTACGGAACTTCAAAAACAAAGTATTATTACTCTTCTTCCAAAGAAAGACAAAGACACGTTATCAATAAATAATTGGCGTCCGATCTCTTTACTAAATGTAGATTACAAAATTGCGACAAAAGCAATTGCAAATAAAATAAAAACCAAACTTCCAAATATAATCAGTTCAGAGCAAACAGGCTTTATCAAAGGTAGATATATTGGGGAAAATGTTAGAATTTTACAAGAGACAATCGAATATATTAATAATTTAAATGAAAAAGGGTTAATATTTTTTTCTGATTTTAATAAAGCTTTTGATAGTCTTGACCATAACTTTATGAAAAAATGCTTATTGAAATTTAAATTTCCTCAACATATTATAAATTGGGTTGGCCTTTTTTATAAAGATGCTAAATCGTGTATACATAATAATGGTCATCTATCCAGTTTCTTTACAATAGAAAAAGGCGTGCGACAAGGGTGCCATTTATCCCCTTACCTATTTATTATTTGTATAGAATTACTCTCAAATGAAGTTACCAAAAATAAAGATATTAAAGGCATTAAGATAGGAAACATTGAACTAAAAGAAACACTTTTTTGCCGATGATGCATGTTTTATAACTGATGGAGAAAAAAGATCGTTTCTAACACTTATTTCAACACTAAAAAAATTTTCAAATATATCAGGCCTTAAATTGAATAAAGATAAATGTACTGTTTTAAAACTTGGAAGTTTAAGAAATACTCATATCAATTTCTGCAATGACAATAATTTTAAATGGACATCTGAAAAAGCTAGCACGCTCGGTATAACTTTCACTAATAACATAGACGAAATGCTTAATACTAATTTAACACCTAAACTGAAAGAGTTCGATCAATGTTTGCATAAATGGAAACGATGGAAACTAAGTCTTTTTGGAAAAATAACCGTTCTTAAAACTTTTGCAATGCCCAAACTTATTTATCCTCTCACAGTTTTACATAACCCAGACCAAGAAATCATAAATAAAATAAAAAAGCTCATGTTTAACTTTCTATGGGACAACAAACCAAAATATCAAGAGATAAAATTATTCAAGATTACCAACATGGGGGGCTTAAAATGTTAGACGTTGAAAGTTTTATATATTCCTTAAAATACTCCTGGGTTAAACGCATTAAATTGCAGCAACATTCAAAATGGGTTAAAGTATATGAAAATATGTTAAATAGATATGGAAAACAATTCATATTTAAATGTAATCTAAACATAAAAGATATTGAAAATTTAGATATTAGATCTACATTTTTAAAAGACGTACTCAGTGCTTGGTCGTATGCAAACTTTAATAAAGAAATAACTGATGTTGGTAAAGAAATTATATGGAACAACACGAATATAAAACTATGTAACAAACCATTTGTTTTCTGTGAATGGATGGAAAAAGGCGTAATCTTCATCGAACATATATACGATTATAGGAAAAAACAATTTTATAGCTTTAACGAAATCCAAAACCTTTATGGCATAGCCCAATCAAACTTTTTAAACTATCATCAACTCATAAAATGCATACCAAAAGAATGGAAAAAAAAACTAAAATCTGAAGGGATACAATACAAAGCTAATAACTACTTAATTGATAAATTAAAACCTCAAATTAAAACCTGCCGATTTATTTATACTATGCTTATTCAAAAGAAAACAACAACAAACAATCATCAAGAAAACAAATGGGAAGCTGAACTCTCAGGCAACTTTGAATGGAAAAATATATTCCATCAAATCATAAACATAACGATTGATACCAAACTTCGAAGTTTTCAGTATAAATATCTTATGCGTATTTTGCCAAACAATGAAAAACTCCAGAATCTAATGTACATCTATATTGGGAATGCTCAAAAATTCAACCATTTTGGTGTCAAATCAGGATTGTTTTACAATCAAAATATTCTACAGACACAACTTTGGTATCATACGAAACTGTCAGTTTGTGTAACGTGAATATTCAAAATAATATGAAATCAAACTGCATTAACTATATTTTACTCTTAGGTAAATATTTTATATTTAAAAATAAATACCAGAAAACCATACCAAACTTCAGTGAATTTTTAAATTATTTTAGATATAAACTTAGTTTAGAAAGACTCATTGCTGAAATGAAAAATAAGGTCGATGTCCATAACAACAAATGGAGCATATTCACATCATAAACATATGCGACTGGCTGGAGTCTATAAGATATTATTTACACGCTTACTATGAAACGCTTCTTTTTTTATTAATGAAAACATAACTATAAATAATTAAAATTACATATATCATGCTCTAGATTACTTTTCCATTTTTACAACCATGTTAAATCAGTTTAAATCTACTTAATCTTTTATTAAAGTTTTTTTTCTGATGTAACCACTGTTTATTCTTGCAATTAAACAATTTGTAATATGTTTGTATATTTGTATAATGTATGAAATGTATTGTTTTTACGAACTGGACAATAAAGAAAATTTAATAAATAAAAAAAAAAAAGAATATTATTAAATTAGCGCCCTAAAACAGCCTAATTGGTTCTCACACCGTATAAGCGACAGCGATGAATAATTGCTGCAGTGAAGACACATATCTAAAATTTATAGATTACTACTGATAGGTTATAAATATGGTATATTGATATAATGCAAACCACGATAATTTAATTATCATACCTACTGCTCATTGATTGGAGATAACATCAAATAATCTTTGACTCGATTAGCCTGTCACTATAAAATTTCAAGTTTCAATGTTTTTACCATTTAATGCTTAATATTGAATACTTCTTTAGCCGGTACTAGGAGGATGGACAGTAATATGCACTTTCTATTACCGTCCTTGAACAGGATCAAGCAAAACTAGACTGCAGCATGCTTAATGTTGTCGTCTTGCGCCTTCATTAGGGATATTTTATTTTTCTCTATTTTACGGTACATTAGCCGTGTGGAGGTCGTAAAATGTCGCCCGTACATTTAATTACATTATTGTTATGCTTGTGGTATTTTTATTTTTTTCTATTCGGCTATTATTTCTATTTGGATGGGTCCAGAAATCCGCAATTGAATACTTCTTAATTAATATTGGGATATGTGGCATCCTTTATAAAATTTGTCTTTTGACAGCATATCTGTGATAACCTCTGATCCCCTTTCAAAGTTCAATTTCATTCAATTCCGCCCATTGTTTTTAATGGCACACAGTCTATTAATTTGGGACCACACGGCTCCTTTCAAAGAATGGCAATAACGTGTCACATTGAAGGTTAAAAAAGCGCCTTATGCACACACCTGCAGATGTTAAAATTTCCAAATTTAAATTTTTCATCTTAAATGTTGAATACGGCTTAAACTGGTCCTATGGGACGTTGGCGATAACATGCACTTTTCATTACCGTCCATGAACTGGCGCAATAATATCGAAACTGCAAAGTTTCCAATTTTTCTCGTTTTGAGTGTTCTTTAGACATTTTTTATTTCTCTCTATTTTGAAAATGGTTGCTCTCGAAAAATCCATAAAAAGGTTTGTTTTTTGTTCAAAATATCTTAAATTTGAAATAGGAAATGTTTCATGAAAAGAGTCACGCAAGCCAAATATCTACTCCCAGTTGGTTTCTCCTTGAAAATGAACTAGCCCTGTCTCAAAGGAAACGCCATTATCTAAAGTACAAATGTATTTTGAAGAGTGCCATTAATGGCAAATACGCTCTGAAAATGACTAACATTCCGATAGAAATTAAGATAATTCAATTAAAAAATTTCTTTATTCCCACACTTTTTTTCTTCCAAATTTAGACGGGAAACTATAGTAGATAAAATATATAACTCTGTCAGTAATGTAAGATCACTTGCATCCGAAATTTTTAAAATTTGCACTTGTATCACTTTTTTGTATATAAAGATGACTTATTTGTTAAATGAAATGTTAAATTTTCTTAAATAAAATACATGTATTTAAATGGCTGACAAATAAAGCTGACTCCTATGGCTTCCTGTCTTTCCTATGGCGTTAACACTGATTAAAAAAAACAAAACTCTATTTCCGGTTGTGAATGATAGATATGTAATGTAATGATTATTACATTACAAGATATCACTGTATGCAAAAATATTATAGTTTATACACATAAGTCAGGTTATTGTATATGTGTTGTCTAAAAGGATAAGAAGCTCAACATTTGTAATTATGATCTCAAACATTCATATCGATATTGTGCGGCACTTGTACTGTCTCCGGTTGTTAAATAAATGAAATCTCGGGTATCTGACAATATCTATGTTTATTCATTTATATAAAGTATCCATTATTTCTCATGTGTTTCTGGGTAGTCACATTTTGGGCAAATCTTTACTGATTGATAATACATTTAAATTGATTATCAATGGATAACATTTAGACATTACCTGCAAAGACACCAATTTTACAGTTAGTCTGGCATGTCTATAATACTGTAAAAGAAATTACTGAAAAATGGAATTGAGACACTTGTTAGTATTTAGGCGCTTTTGTGTTCCGAGCAAGATATTTAACGAAAAGTACCACCAATGTAATACACATGTTGTATTGTTATAATATGTTAAGATAATAGATCCCAGTTCGTAAACCTCGTTTATTTGGATAAATAGATAACAGGCGATAAAATACACCAGGTATATAACTTTTATTATTGATAATTAAACGTCTTAAAGGGACTCCACTGAGGTTTTGTTGGCATGATGGGACTGAAAATATTTTTCCAGATAAATGTATCATTTGATGTAGGTTTATTCCACTAATCTTTGTGCAAAATTTCAGATCATTCGCACACTCCGTTTTTCCAGAATAATTATTCAAATTGTACTGAAAAACAAAAAATGAAAATCGTTTAAACACTTTTCACTCAAATCTGGCTAAGAAAAGCATAAATTTCCAATTCATTTCGAAGCATATTTCTTAACTATCTTTGCATATATTTCTGTTTAAAGTGCCCCATCTTATTTATTTAAGAAATTCAAATGTATTTTTTATGGCTTTTAAACCTCAGTGGAATGCCTTTAAATTGTGTTGACATGTAAAGTGTCTAAATGTTATAGTGGCAAGTGGATAATAACACTTGACAAAACTAATGGCTTTATTCTGCAAAAATAACTCCGCCTGACATTGCCGAATATTCAGTTCAAATCTTGCATGTGTGGTTGCTGATCATGTTGATAAATCTACCTATGTTTTAAATGTGACACAGAACAAAGGTTTTGCGTTGATCATTATAACCACTCTAGTCCCTTCATCACCAAGCCGACAAGATACCAAACCAAAATAGCATAATACTTTGAATATTTGTTCAAGACCACTATGTTCGTGGCCGAGTGGTTTAGGTCGTTGACTTCAAACCACTTGCCCAATACCGATGTGGGCTCGAATCCCGACAGATCCTGTGTCGATGTGACGTAAACCCCAAACAAACAAACAAACAAAAACCACTATGTCCAATATTTAAGAAAAAATATATTTGCGGAAAATCGGCTAGATGTTGCCATGGACACAATTTTCTAATGTAAAAAAAACAAACTTTTACCATTTTCAAGATTTTGCGCTTTAAGTTACACATACAAAATAATTAGTAAACATTAGTATATGTATAGGAATTAACAAAATAGATCTGATCAAGTTGTTTTCTTTTTTATACGCTCGACAGAAATTCGGCGTATATTGTTATGCACCTGATTGTCTATCTATCTGTTATCAATGTCGGTTATGCTCTGGCTCTGATTATTTTATATTGAACCAATGGAAAGAAATAGAAACTAATTAGTAGAAATGTAGCAACACGATATACAGACAGCAGGTTTGACCTTCCTCGGGCAAGGGCAAGTCACACTTTGTCATTCTTTATATTGTATGAACCTGTGAAATGGCCACCTCTCCTTTGGGCGGCCTTTTTCACAGGGTTGACTCTACTTATATTACGAGATTGAGAGTTAAAAAAAAAACAAAAAAACGATGTTCTTAAATCCAAATTGTGCAGTTCAGGGAGAAAATGATTTTTCCAGTAATATGATAACATTTTCACAGACCCTTATCAAGCAATATACAAACCCTTATGTTCAAAATTATAATAATTTACAAATAATTGTTAAGCAGATGTTGACCTTGCCAAATATGTATATTTATTTCAGGTATGACTTAGCGCATTACCTTTTACGGGAATCAAATTATGACCATAGCTTTCCACCAGACACAAGTATTTATATTAACATATCAATATTTTATCTTATTTAAACTAAAATGTTTAAGGTTACTTGATCGTATGGTTGTTAAATATCTGCAGTGTTCGACTTGATTCCTTATTAGATTTCCCATATTATCTTTGTAGAGAAAATCTTTTTTTCTATTCATACTTGTCTTTAATATAACACCTCCAGCATACACATTTGACGTCAACAATATACATTATACTAAATTATATTTTTGTTTGATACTTACAGACAATATTACAAACGTTTCTGTACAACTTGACATCACAGATTTAAACTCTGAAAGTGACAAGGACAGGGTGAGTTTTTTTTTAATTTTTAATAAGAATACATTTGAAAGAGCAGTTTAATATATTGATTGATTTACAAACTATTTGTAAATTAAAAAAAATATGAAAAGGACTGTTTTTAAATACAACTGCATTTCAATATATCCGAAATCATCGATTGAATTTATTTTTTAACAGGTTAAGCTGTAAATGGGTGGGGGCTTGAGAGAAGCTGTAATGTTCACCATCTATCATGTGTTTCATGAATGGACTCAATTATTCATGTAATGACGCTGCATCTATCAGAAAAAAACGTAATAAGGAGCTAATGCATGCTTTTATCTTTTTAAGGAAATTGAGTTTTCACTTTATCTCCGGATGAATTGGACTGACAGACGGTTAGATTTTACTGAAAACAAAACCACATATGATATTATTCCATTGGGAGATGATATAGTTAATAGCCTTTGGATACCAGACCTATACTTTATAGAAGAACGAAATTCACTTTTACACGGGCTATTAACAAGCAATCAGTTGGCATTTATCCATAAAAATGGAGACGTATTCTACAGTGGCAGGTAAATAATCTAACAAAGTGTTTTTTTTTTAGTTTCCATTTTTTTTTAATTAAAGATTATTATGTAAATTATATACACATGTGAGTGCTAGCTGTAGGCAGAATTCATTTTATTTCAAATATTTATTGCCAAAGTGACACATGGTAATTGGTACTTCCTTTACGTCAACTTATTTTACATGGATTATATAGTGCCATTTAACTAAATATCCTGAGTAATGTTTTACACATTGTTCTACGCTTTTTTAGAAAAATAATATGTTTCCAGTAAATTACTAGATTTAGACATGAGAAAAAAACTTTTATGAGACAAATAAATACAAAGTTTCAGTCGAGATCTTGATGGCAATCGGTATTCTGGATCCTATGGTAAAGGTTACTGATCTAAGAATAGAGAAAAATGTTTCGGGTCGAAACAAAACCTTGTGTTAAGCAATTTCTCGTAATAACTTTTTGGTTCCTATCGTCATGGTCAAGGACACTACCAACACATGTTTCCGGACAAAATTAGAGTTAGGAAGGGGTATTAAAATTGATCTAAGTGTCTTGCAAGCTTATGTGTAGATCTCGCTTTTGATTGTTTTGGCACCCTAGTGTCAAGGTCACTGTTACTATTAAGATCATCATACATTATAAGGAGGTTATGTCTTTGAATTAATAACCTGGGCTATCAGTATCATATATTTTAATTTATTAAATGAATTAACTTTGCTATTAATTGATTGTTCTGGTTTGTAGGGCTTGACTTAAAGAAATGTGTCAACCCAATAACTTAAGAATCCTGTGACCCACAACCTTCATATTTGCCGTGGAACTTGATCATGACCATGAGGTGACCCCTATTGATTATGAGGTAGAAGGTCAAGGTCACAGACTACTTTATTTCAAAAAGCTTGTCAGCTCAATTGCTAAAGAATGCTTTGGTTAACAGTCTCCATATTTGGTATTGAGGTTGGCTATGAATGTTACATGACTCCTGTTGATTTTGTGGTCACTGGGTCTAAGGTTAAGGTTGAAGTGTTTTTAGCTCAAAAAGCGTGTCCGCTCACTTGATTTAGAATGTTTCGGTCAACAGTCTTCGTATTGAGGTTGTCTTTGACTAGTAGATGACCCCTATTGATTTGATGGCGACAGTGTCAAAGTTCAATGTCACAGGGGCTTTAACTACAATAAGCTTGTCTGCACAAATGCTTAAGAAAGCCGGTCCAAAATGTATATATTTTGACATTTCATATTCTAAGCATATAATTATGTTCTCATAATATATTCATCATAAAACACTCCACAAAAAGCTGCCTGAATTTGGGCTTAGGTATTCAGGTTTCAGTTTTTTGCCAGTAGGCCAGAGGTAAAGGTCACTTTGATACTTTGATATTTGCCACTAAAACATGTAACATACAAAACTTGGCAATGCACTGGCCTAATATCCGCAGGGAGGTTGTCCTTGAGCTCTAAATGACAATTGTAGATTCTGATAAAGTGGTATGCGTGGGTAGTCACGACATGACAGTGGCAGATAGTTTTTTAAAAATGTTTTCAGGTTTGACATTAAAGCACACTGTGTAATGAGTTTCAAAAAATACCCATTTGACGAGCAATCCTGCGAAATTTCCATTCAAAGTTGTAAGTATTACTTGAATATCAGGATGAAAATACATCATAAAAATATTTTATTGCTTTAAACGAGGTGAATGAAACCAATTATGTCATATTTAAAAACTATTAGGGTTTAAAATACTTTATTTATGCACAGTCTGAATTCAAAAATGTGTTTTTGTGCATTACAAACTTCATAAAACAACAACAATGTAAAATTAAATATCTTAACATATATATTTTTCTATTTACCGATTACTTCATGAAATACTTTTTTATCAAACAGAAATTAAAATTTTCTTGATTGATCAATATAGATGCCCTATCGACAGACTATCTTCTTTTACATTGGGTTGGAAAGAACGCAGTTGACATTGCTTGTAATGAGGACACTTTTATTTTTGAAGACACACCACAGAGCAAAGCCACTGAGTATCGAAATAACTACCCATACGGTAATTATCATTGAAACTATACTTTATATGGCCGTTTACGTGACGTTCTGCCCAAAAGTATTTTCAACTCATGACAAGATTGATGAAAAATATCACTGTCAACGAAAAAATATAAAGTTTACAACATGACAATCCTACCATTTATGTTGATATATAATGATGAATATCAATATTGAAATTCAATATTGTATTAAAATATCTGCCAAAAATTGCATAAGTATATTTAACATTTGAAACTAACATGTTGTTTCGAGTTTTTCAAGACAAATAACATAAAGGCAGATAGTTATTCTTTCAATGACGACTGATAAACTCGTTGATCAAAATACTGACACGAAGAAAGAATCACTTTTTAAAACATGTTATATATCTTTAATTGATGTTGAACAAAACAATAAATATAGAAAATGCAATTTGACCAAACAAAAAATAATTGTATTTAAAAATATAGACTTTCATATATTTGAAGAAAAAAAAACTCGATTTTACAGGTAACATTGACTACAATATTTTAAATGACTAATATTGGATATTATTTCTAAGGATAGCACTGTTCTACTAATAAATGTTTGCGCATTGATATATTTCTTTCAATTACAAGTTATCCTGATTATATGTAGAAAAACATTATTGCTTTTGCAAATTGTCATACCTCATAACATGACTAATATTTTTGAAAAGAGGCATTTAGAATAACATAGACTCTAACGAATAAGTGTGATTAGTTATTTGAGGCAAATGAAAAACGAGTGTCACTTTTTCTTCACATGTTCGCATGTAACTGACACTTGGAACAATATCTTTGACTCTATTATTTGACATGGCCTACATTGCAGGAATATAGACATTTATTCGTGTTTGAGTTAGAGTCTGTTTCTAAAGTTATAGAAGAAATAGTTGGTAAACGATATTGTTATTTTGAACTAAGTAGCAAAAATCAAATTGTATTTGTGTACTTTGAATGTGTTGTATATGTTTGATGCTTTAAATGTTTACCTAATGTTATCAATTGAAATTATTTAAGTTTGCGTCAGTAGATTGAGGATTTTATTTATATCGAATAAGATGAGCTATATTTTTAATGGTTTTGTCATTACTTTTTATTTCAGTTGGATCATTTTCAACACTGACTACATCTATACGTTTTAAACGTCCGCGAGGATCTTATTTTACAATGGTTGTTGTCCCTCCAGTTTTTGTGGTTATCATTGCACTCACGTCATTCCTCCTCGGTGAAAATGTATCTCCACGCATTACAATTCCTACAGGTGCCTTAACACAACTATTCGTAAACTGGGCAGGAGTTCACAATAGACTATCATTTGATTCCACAATGGATTTGTTTGATGCCTGGATGATAGGAAACATCTCATTTGTGGGGTTTATTCTATTTGTAAATGCAATGATTTGCCATTGCAAATACAAAAAGGTAGTATTTATAGAAATATTTCAAATTATTTTTTTTACGTGAATAATTATAATTTTTAAGATAATATTATTAGACTTAGCTGAGAAATAAAGCATATATCATTTGAAAAGATTTGTTTATACAAGAAATCTTGACAGGAAACGTTTAACAAGGTAATCAACATTAGAGCAAAGTATTATTGCAAACTCCTGGAAAGAAGGTAGATTGTTGAACAAATGATGAACATAAAATCTGTTATAATTTCGAAAAAACATAGATAATTCATTGTTTGAACAGAGATAAAGAGTGAAAAAAAGTATTTTTTCAGCTAATTTGGTAAGCCTGTTTGATACTAAAATAGGAATTCCATCCTAAGGTTAACGACTACGGACAATCGAACAAAATTAATTTTAGAAAGTGATTCAGAGTTATACGTGCAAAATTACAAAACTGTGAGAGGATAAAATGTCCAGATATTTTCCGGATATTGCCCAGAGCATATCTGCTATATGCATATCTATAATGCCCACATCTCAAAAGATTTTGTGACGGGCGTATTTTGCGACAATGCTGCCTTTGTTCAATTTGTTAAATAAACATTGGTTATTTCCATTTTTTGTCCATTCGACGAATAATATTTTCTTATCTCCGTAAACAAATAATGGACTGCTCATCTGGCTGATTTCCTATTGTAAGGTAGCTATTTTTAGGCTGCATAATATGGGAACAGACTTAAAAAGCACAGAAAAAGATGACATATCGAATTCAGCTTATAACACGCTGTCCATCTATTGAATTTAAAGGGGTAATGTTTTGTATTGGACAAAGCTGCATTAGCGTAGGGACCGTATATAGTTTTTTTTCAGATCCAGTAATTTCAATTGCCATACTTATTTGTCCCTTGCTATTATCCGTGCAGACGTATTTTCGAATTTACACTCGTTTTAAAAATAGAAACACTGCGAATAAGAAATAGAACTACGAAACTACTGCGCGGAATACTGCTTCGACGTTACTAAATTTAGCATGTGCCAGAACGCTTCAACTTTAACGCTATTCTAGAAATAAATTTTACTCAACCATCACTGTGTTACGTGTGCCGACTTTAGACAAGCGATTATATGCACATGTTTACATGTTTTTTAAAGAAATTTTATTATGTAAAATAAAAAGACGAAAACAAGATGAAAATCAAATTTCCCAAGGAAAGGGACAACTAAACATTGTGATTATGGTACACGGAGGAGTAAATCAATGTACCCTGATTAGCCAAAAATGGGACTTTTTACAAACAATTTCGACAAAATAAAATGACCCCGGAGAAATGCACTTGCTTGGCCAAAAAAAATCAAACTTTAAAAGTTATTAGAGGAATAGCTAAATAACTTCACCATAATTTGTCGATGAATTAATGGGCCTAGTATGTTTATCTATGGTAATTTAGTATTTGAACGGAAGTCAAAATACTATTGCTATGACAAATTATTTCACATTCATAACAACTTATTTCAGGTAACATATGACTTATTTTTTTTCCATGAAACCTATCCTTTCCTTTGCATCCATTTTACACTTGTGTTAAACCTCACATGTTTTTATTTGTATACGCCTCTTCTAGGCTGTACAATTTAATATATACAATTTATCATTCATGTAAATGTGAACTAGTTATTTATTTATTTAGTTGTAGATATTAAGGTCTGGAATATGGCATATTTTATGAATATTATTCTCGGACTCACGAATAAAATCACTATTTTTATCAGCCATTTTTCAGATTGACAACATTTTAATAAATAAAGTACATTACATAAAGCAAGATTGAATAGTGCCTTTCTGCGTCCAAATAAATATCTAAATATTTTTCTCTGTAAATGTTTATGATGTTTTAATCCATATAGACATCATACTCTTATATTGTGCCATGTCCGACCGAATGTTCTTTACATAAAAACCATAACGCATTTTTCTATGATCAATTTAATTTGATATTGCCATGACGTGTTATAAAAATTAACTCATTATACTGACAATGAATTCTTAACGTTTTAAATCCGTATACGAAAAATTAAAAAATGTAAATTTTTTTATTATTTTTTTTTTTATTTTTAAATTAAAAAAATCAAAAATTTTTTGTGCTGTTTTTTTTAAAAAAAACCCGAAAAACCAAGGCAGGAACTTTGTAAAATGTGCCAGTGGAAAAGTGAAAAAAATAAAAAAGGATTTGGAACCCAAGAATGGTATTTCAGCTTAAAAAGTACTTTTTAGTTAATATTAACTTTAGTTTGCCATCATCAAAATTTTCTGAAATTAAATATTAACCGATATTAAACAATTATTTTAGCTTTTATTAACGTTTCCCCGAATTAGTTCTTTGGGCAATGATTAAAAATCAAAAAATTAAAAAATAGCTGATGCCTTTTAGTACATTATATCAATTATGTGCGTTGTGTTTCCTGGGTCCTCGTATGACTATGATTGGGGTAATGATTCAAGAGACCAGGTAAAAGTATCGTACGTATATGCGTAAGTATTTACGTAATTTTGGCTGTTTGTATATATTTTTCTTGCTTTTAATGGGATTATACGTGCTATTCATAAACTTCAACTGGTTGATAAAAAAGAGCAAAAGCTTATGAAACAAGAAATATAATTAAAATGTCATTTATTATAAAGCTTCAATATTTTTCAATATTTAAAAAAAAAACATCTTATCAAATATACCCGAAAACAATTGTATGAAACATGAATTTACTTTTGAAAATAATTGTCATTTGACATATGGAAATACTAAATAATGAACAGATCATACATTTCCCCTTAATGAGCAACACCTTTGTTAGAAAGAGATAATTTAGTTGTTGCTTAAAGGTGTCGCTCTGCAGAGACAATATAAATTGGAACTAATTACTCTTGGAATGGTTTATGGTGGTTGTTGTAAAGTGCTAAACTCTCTAAGGAGGGCTTATGTTCCCTTTTTTTTCTTAAATATCTATACATAAATGAATAGAAAAATCATGATAGTGATAAAAACAAAACAACAACAAAAACAACAACAACAAAACAACAACAACAAAAAATAACAACATACTAAATTTAAAGTTAAGTGTAAGTTCTATGTGTGCCCGTCATTGCGTACTTTTTATTACTCTCCGTCTATTTTAACTCTTCTCTTCCTTAACCTTCCTTTTGTCACGAATTTAATCTAAAGATTCAAAGGAATAAGATTAAGATATCAACATTCTTTTTTTGTTATAAAGATATTTCATTCTCTAAAAATTTACATGATTCATATTATATTATAAGTTACTAATTATTGAAGAATAAGTAGTCAGGAAAATCAAACAAAGTTATCTATTGATAAATGTATACATATTCAAATTCAAATTCATTGTTAATATTATTATTATTGTTGTATTATGTATCCCTTCTATTAGTTCCCTTTGTTATAATCTTTTTAAAAGTTTATAATGGACATTAAATAAAAGAGGTGCAAACATTTTAAAGGTTATTATGTAAAACACATTTGTATGACTATCAAAAACTTAATGTAGCAAACTTATAAAATGACAAATTTACGCTGAATTCTTAACAGTTATTGAATACATTATAGACCTATTAATAAGCATAGGTTTTCATATTAGCTTTAGTTTGTTTCATTGAAGTATTAATAATGTGTGTGCTGTTTTCAAAGGAACTGCAAGAAAACAAAGTAGAGAATGAAACTAATTCAGCTAATGTCAACCATGATAGTGAAAAAGAAGAAAGAAAATGTGGAGACTTAGTCAAGGTATAAGATTTTGCTCAGATAAATTATATTTAGTTGTAATACATATGTATGTTAAAAATATTCAAACAATAATTACTTTAAGCTATATTTAAACACGTTTTTAAAATTAGCTATTTTATTACCAGATCCGAAATGCAGATCATGACTTAGCATTTTAAAATTAACTATCGAAGCAAACAGTCAATTCCTTCCTACACGTTTATGTTTTTTTCAGTCTGACTAAGAAATTTGGCTAGGGTATGCCTAAAATTGCGGATGTATCTTATGAAACTACATCAAGAAATTTTATGTTTAATGATAAGTCATGATAAAGGGTATCATAAGCTGAATTTACGTATATGCACATGGAGATTATATATAATTAGGTATATGAAGCTGAGAATCGGATAATATTTAACATTTGACCTTGAAACACAAAATCATTTTAGGTAAGTATGATATTGTACATAACAGAGGTCAACATTTTGAGGTTATCATTACTAATATCACGGATTTATAATAAAAAGGAAACTACCGTTAGCTTTAAATCTCGTCAAGTTCATATGCGGTATCGTGCATCGTTTTTAAATGCAGTTATTGTTTAGTGCATTATAAAAAAAGAGATTTACAAAAAAAAATTATTTTCAAATTAATTGATTGGTACAAAAACAATTTGACAACAACCTATTTTGTCGTGAACTTCCTTTTAATTTTGATTAATTATCCAAGAGATTGGAAGAAAGAACACATTTCCTTTCTGAATATTATTTAATTTTAATTAATTTATATCAACACAACAAGTTTTAATACATTTAAACCATTTTATTTAATCATCACAAATGAAATCCAAAAATTTTAACTCAAGAACCTTTATCTAACAAAACAGCAATGTTCCATGCAAAATATCTAACCTCTAGCCTCTGTCAATTTAGAGGAGATGGTATTTTATGATTTTACTATATACAAGGGGTGTCCCAGAATTACCTTGACTTTTGCTATAACTTTTTTATTTTTTAATGCATTTTTTAGCATATTTGTACACAATACCTTTAACATATCCTTAATGAATATGCCCATTATTATTAAATTTCTAAACATTGCTTCTCTATATTTTACGTCGCTATATTAACGCAGTATGCGCAGGGCGGGGCAGTCCAATATTTTGTATTAATAAGTTGTCTTTTCTTTCGTATATCTTGCGTATTTATAAGTAAAAAATGGCGCGACGTTGTAAGCATTTGCAGTGACGTCATATGAACGTTCGTTTGAAATTTTGACGTCATAGCTGTTTTCGCTATTGTTTACCAGCGGACAACTGACAACCGTTGCTCTTGGATATTTAACAAAAAATGACGTTCACGGATTACGCGGAACATCGGACTATCATCAAGTTTTGTGTTAATCTTATCTTGGGAAAATCTGCCAAATCATTAGTAAGATAGAAACAGCCGAAGCAGAGTGTGTCATTTCGATAGATATGCATGGAAATGTGCATACCATGTACAAGAAAAAAAAATGAATCAGTAAGGTTTAAATATCTATAGCATGATTGTCATATTTACAAGTTTGCATTTATTTTGATCACTCAAACAAAGTGGTAAACAGTTCATGTCCTGCCACTTCAAAATAGATGTATAAGAGTGATGTAACTAGCTACATGGCTTTATCATATTCATTATTGTATGCGGCTATTAAAGTAACTTTGATTTTTACAAGCTCTTCTCGAACAAAAAACAAAACAAAACCAAAAAAAAAAAAAAAAAAAAAAATGAAAAATTGAAAAGATAATAATACAAATTTTTTGCATAATCGTTTTGGTCAACTGCTAAATACACTTCTTCTGAAAATTCAAATGAATATTTTAACAAAATTTCTTTGTTGAAATATGCATCTTGGTCATGTAATTTCAATGTGAAAATATTGATAATGACCCTTAAATTCTATTGAGAATTTATTATTTTGAACCGGACCATTGGAACACAGTATCACGATCAAATGAGAAACACCACTTAGTTAACAGAAATATAATAAATCAGTGTACAGCATAGTGCAAGAATTTTGTAGCAAAAAAAATCTTTACAAACGGCAAAGAAAAACTTACGATAAAATGAATGTTTATATGCGATGGATTAACACTTTAATGCTTAAATATCGTCCTGTCTTATATATACACTTAAATAAAATTTTCATCAATTTTCTTCATACGAGGGCTGTTCAAAAAGTTCGTAGACTGCCGCTCTATTGTTCACATCTTTTAATTTGCGTATATGATTTTACAAAAGAAATATATGAAAAAATGTCCGCAATAAACAGTGAAAAAATCAATACAATATGTTTACAAATAAAAATTATGTGACAGTTACAAATCACAAGGGGTGCACAATCCGGCGCAAGCTGATAATGAAACAAAATGACGTTCGTGACGTCACAATATAAATGAAACATTTTAACAGCGTCATTGTTTCTGAAAGTACTCTTTGTAGTGCTCAATATCTGCGGATCATATATCAAAACAATTTTTCTGTTTGCGATGATGACCCGAGATATAAAGTGGTCATCTATTCGCTCCATTCTCCGTATAAAGGTCCGAGTGCCGCATACTTTCCGCTCTTTATCGGGATTTTCGAGTAATTTAGACACTAAACGGACAGTGTTATTAAGTTAATTCAAATGTTGATTGATAGTATCAATTTGAAACCGCACTCGTCCGATCTTTAAACAATATGATTATCGATGATAAAGAAAATATTTTATCAACTGACAATTATTCTATGCGGTTAATCTACTGAACACCGGCTAGCATTAATTATGAAACGGACCAGGGAAAATACAGGAAATACAAATAATATCTACAAGTATTTATTGTAAATACGCATATATCCTGATGAATGAAATAAGATATTATTTTAATTAAATTAAATTGTTTTGTCAGAATTGAATGCATAAACCCGATGCAGAAATTAAACAAATCTCGCAAAACTGCCATAAGGCCTGAACTTCTGTAGATCTTTTTCAATTGATGTTACAAACGTCCCAACAATTTGCCGCTTAAATAATTCGTCGCCCTTTCTGTCTGTGAGCATGTATTTGCCGTATTTGAATCGCTTGCGCGACCTGAAACCAAGAGACTTGCTCGACAACTCATTTTTTTTCGTTAATTTAATCACCTTATACAAATATAAAGGAGTAAACCACATTTATTGGTAAAATTTCCGAAAGAGCGAATTTCTAGTTTTTAAACGGGGTTTATACTTCACAACTTACCCGTCTGTCTACTGCTGCTCAAAACTTGTTTGTTCAGCTATTCAACGTCCAAACGACGCCAAAAGTCAGATTTATGTCATTTAAATATTAATAGATGATAACTTGTATTTAACTTCATAAAACAATCATTTAATTTGTTTTAACATTTGTTTATATTTAAACATTATATGAAAATTTAAGCGTGCACCGATGTTGCGTTGCCATGGTTATTAAAGTGCACATAACTTGTAAAGGAAATAAAAGTTAACAATACAAGTAAATCTTACTTTTGAAAATAAAGACACTCTTTTGATTCATATCCACTAAGGGTGTTTTTATGAACCAAGTAAAAAATGACAGCAAAAATCCACGAACTTTTTGAACATTCCTCGTATATGATAAGGTGAGTATGATAAATGGTTTGAAAAACGATACATCTTAGAACAAACAAAAACAAAACAACAAAATTTCCAAAAGTAGTCAGGAGGGATGCTCATCAAGGAAAAAAGCGCTCGATGACCCGTCTATATAAATCCGCCATCTCGGATGCAGGAGAAAATGAGTCGCTTTTTGAGCCGACTAGGTCGTAATGACAGGGCGCCGCCATATTGTCTTGCAGACGAAATTTTAAAGGGGTCACCGAGTTCATTTTTCCTGGATGACCCCCCACCTAACTTCTTCCAAATAAATAAATACCGTATCATTTAGATGCCCATTTTTTAAAAAACATCTTCGTTAAACGCCAATAATATTGAATAGATACGAGATTTCAACACATATTGTCTGAACACATATATTTACTTTGTCTTCCAATACCTATAAACAAATACAAAATAAAATTATGATGTATGCAGTAAGAAACACAGAGAACAGAACTTCATCGTTATGTCTTCTAAGTGCTTCGCATATCTGAAAAAAAAAAAAAAAAAAAAAATGTTTGAAAGGAAAAGATGAAATATATCTTAGTAGGAATTTTGATGTTTTGAATAAATGCGAATCTACTTTTAATTTCGATACACATACGTAATTAAGCACATGATTGACAATTTCACTTTGTTATAATGTCATGCTTAAATAACATTCCATAGTTACTTATTCGGCATGTGTTTCAATGAGTAATATATATTGATGTGGACTTATTCCGTTCAAAACCAACGAATTTACATTAACCGTAGCAAGCAGTACTTGCCTATTAGCTTACACTGCTGTATATGTTTCCGTTTTAGTGATAGTGAACGTTTTCTTAAAGATGGAGCATCTATTAAAACTTGTCCAATTACTAATATTATGAATTTGTCGTTGACACAGTGGGTAGTGCAAGATGTTATCAAAGCTGTACACGAAAAGTGATATTCAAAAGAAGGATATTAAAGACCAGTTCCAATTGTATGTAATATTAAAAAATATCTGAAAACATTGAATATGATCAACTAGAAATTTATGTAAACAAAACAAACTAATAATATGAATTTCGATCTGGTTTCAGAAGTATTTTTCTGATTATGTGAGGTCGATAGAGACAATTACGTTGACATGGTTCTAAAAGCAGAAAGTTTTTGATAAGCTAAGATAACTGCACTATACTTTAAAGCAATTTGAAAATGTTGGGTTTGCGTTAAATGTTGTCACATGGTCCCATATTTGTACTTATTCGTTTTTTTGCAGATAAGAAGTTCGGTGTACTCCAATGCTCCATTTTTGTCCACTGCTTTTTTTATTAAACGTATATAATTCTATTTTGGACTAAAATCAAACCTTTATACAGCACATCTTAAGCACACAGGGTCAAACAATAAGGAGGAACCTTAGACAAAAGTTTCAGTTTGTAACTATGGTGACACCTGTCATTAAAAAGCAAGTACAATATTTAAGTCTCGTTTAAGACAACTAATTTAAAAAGTTTTTTTTATATCTATGCCTGCTCTTATTGGTACAATTGTATTTTTCAGACATCTGAAAATGGCTCCAAGCTAATCACAATTAGATAATGAAGTTTGTTTTTAATCTTGATCAAGACAGCACTTTACTTTCAGCTGATAAACAAGTTTCCTGATTGAAGCAGAGTGAAGCAAATTAATCTTACTCATGTATTAAAATACAAATAATTATGTATTTACATACATTTAACATGCTGTCATTTTATTCCAGCAAATGACCGATGTTTAAACGCCTTATGACCATTAAATAAATCAACTTGATTTTAACGTATGAAAATCTTATACCACTGTTTGTTACCTGGTATCATCCTATCAGAGAGGTAGCATTTCCTTATTTTACTTCATAATGAAATTCAATAAAATACTAAATAAATTTATTTAAGTGAATTTTCAAGACAATTTGTTACATTTAACCCAGATTGTACAAGTTTATACTGTTTAACAATATTCTTACCTTAGCTTGGCATGTTGATTTTGCTTCAGATGAAGTTGAGTTCTGCAAAAAAAGTTCAAAAGGTTATATATTTTAGACACAATATCTTTAATGTGAATTACTTTTTACAATTAACTCTGTGCATGTATGTACCATTGTGATATTATGTTTTAAAACATATTATTTGAAAACTGAATTATAAAAGTCGCTACGTGCAATAATTTACATAGATATTAAAAAAAAACAAACAACAAAAACACTTACTGAAAGTAAACGAGTCCTTGCTGGATCTGGTTCCATCAAGATCTGGAAGTAACGGTTTATATGACATAATGATTGATAATTAGATAAGAACTAAGATTATCTTAAATTTACTAAGATACATTTAAAGAAAATACCGAATAATATTATCCCCCCCCCCCAAAAAAAAAGAAACAACAAAAAAAACCCATCGGGCACGTATAATAAGATTTCATTAGAACAAAACGGATTATACAAATAAAAATGAAATTTTGAAGCAATATTTGTGAGTTAGCAACAGCTTCGGTAATAGATTGTGAAAAATGAATTTCACATTTGAGGTCAAAAGACAAAAAAGAGGTCGTTTTCGAAAATCACAATGTTTTGGAAAATCACAATTATATGAAGAAACGTTTCAGTGATTTTTTAAATATTAATCTGATTGCAAATAACTATGTATGGAGTTAATAATGTTTGTGACCAACAAAAACAGGTTGCTATTCTCCTCCTCAAGGAAATTGTGAGACGGCGAATGACGCTATTGGTTATGTTCTGCATCAATAAGGAGGGCATGTCTTAAGTTATTGACTTGTATGTTTTATGATAATTGCGTACAAATGCCCATGCTGGTCCTTCGCGTGTACCTAGTCAGACATAAACGCCGGCAACCGCAAGACTTTGACTCCGTTCTCATCCCAAAACACGGAATATGTAGGGCTCCGCTTTGGCCAGCTGTAGAAAAACTCTCCTACCCAGATTTTGTATTTTTTTAGGATTTTCATGTAAGCAAATATGTCTATTATGCGGCCTGAACCAAGCCCTTGCCACCGCCTTAACTGGCTCGTTCCTGCTTGCAACATAAAACAATTATATCGTCCCGCGCCTTTAAACTCTGACCGTAAAGAGTGATTTTTCGGTAAAAAGCACTTTTGCAAAATGGCTTGGGTCAAGTGCCTGTGACTTCAGGCCCGAGCTAAGCGAGTAGCTCTGTGACGAGCAGTTAGAATTCTTCCCGTTGGTTATCGCGCACGAACTGGTTGTCTGTTTTGCCTAAGACGATTAAGAATCTTCTGAGCCAAGATCCACTATCGTCGTGCAGTTGCCTTTGCTGAGGTAAGATAGGTATAACTTTAAAACATTGTCAACATTCCGGCGTAATATGCCAAAACAACACATCATTTTAACTTTTTGTTGTCTGCAATAGGGTAATGGAATAATGTTTCACATGATACCTGCATATGCAACCTTCCAACTGTAAAATCTTTCAAACTTATTTTAAGAAAACAAAAAGACACACGCCTAGCAATTACTTTCTGGTAAAAAAAACTTCAAAATATTCATACAATACTTTAAACAAAGTATATTTCTGTAAACAACCATTTGTTTTTGCAAAACGTAACCTCATCACCTTTTGCCTTGTGGCCAAATAAAATAAAAACTTTCATTTTTTATCTTCAAGTGTACGCAATTTGACACAGCTCGACGAAAGCTACTTCGCAATTTGAATAGTGTTGACATCGATTTAAATTAACTTCTTTTAGCCAACCAAGACTTTTTTGACAAAAACTAATAGCGTAACTATTTCACACGTATAGACGATTTTCATCAAAATATGTAATGATAATCTGACACGAATAACAAAAAAACAATTTAGTTTATTTTAGACAAAAAAAGAACAGAGATAAAGATGATATTTGTGTGTGTGTTGTTTTTTTTTTGCATATCAAATTGAAATATATTTCTCTGAGTGAACACCAGATGCAATATTCTCTCGTGTGACATAGCCACAGGTGAAAATAGAATAGCTGATGTTCACGAATGAAATATATTTCAATCCTATACGCAAAACAAATAAATTTTCTTTTGATTTCATACTTTTAAGTGATTTAAAGTATTTGTTATTGATTTTACCGCTTTACGTTGCGCATTCTCATTTATTAAATGAGTTAATGTCTAGCTGAATCTTTTGAGATTGACCATAAAAATATACGTTTATGTTAAGCAGGTACGAAATTTCAAAAATTTACAATAAAGCTTAATATGAACGATTTATCTCTTATATTGTGAAATGCAAACAACTATTATTCATTTGAACATTAAGAGATGACGTATTGTCACAGATATTGTTATGCATTTTTCAAAATAGAAATCATAACGACATTGAACAAGTTCTGTACGTTCGTGGTTAAGCAAAAATCTGGAAATTATGTTAATTTACTTTGGTTGTACGAATTGAAAATGACCTAAAAATAGATAAGAACTTTACGTTTAAGCATAAAAAGCTGGAAACAAAGTAATCTCTGGCTCAAGCCGAATGATATCAAAATGCCTGTAAGTTAAAGAAATATCTCTCATGGAATATAATCTTGGAAACAATATCTGATGATCAACTGAAAAAGAGACTTGAGTTGTAATGTTTTGTACTAATTACTAGTATTTGAATGCATTTTCAATTTGTTATATTTTTGATCCCTTTGATCATTCGTTCTAAGAAATGAGGTTTTGAAAATTGAGACCCGCTCATGTAAGTGATAGGAGGCATGAGGGATATTGCACTTATTTATTTATCTTATGTACAGACTCAATCAAACCGTGTCTCTAATTCTGTTGTTTATGGTGCTTCCGAGCCAACACCTGATGAAGACCCCATACCGAAGCGGAGTAAGAAGTGTCGGCTTTTGTTTCAACGAAACCCTTGAATGTTTTTGAAATGACCATTGAATATAATAATAAAAAGATTGAAATTAACCACGAAACATTTCCAAAACATAATTATCTGTAGATATTATTTTTCATTGGATATATTATATGAAAGTGTGTTTTTTTCTTCAAATTATGAAATGGATTATTAGAACTGAAGGCTTGTTGTTCAGGTAAAGTCTGGAAGAAATGTTTGATATTGAGCAATATATGATTGTATGATATTATAATTATTACTATTATACGATACGATTTTTACATTTAAGTAACTCAGCTCGAATCATATCAAAGATACCAAAATAGCCGTCATATAATCTTTGTTTCGAGCACATTAAGTTTTGAAAATTGAATACTGCTCAAGCCGGTGCAAGAAGGAATGGTGGATATTGCACATTTTCATTTTCTTAATGGCCTGACTCAATCAAACCAAGTCTGTTATTTTCATGTAATTTTGTTGTTTTTGGTGCTTACAAAGAAATTTGTTTTCAGAATTGTATAAAACAAAGTCTTTACCAAAGTATTGTCGGGTTTTCTTTCCATGCACATCTGGAAGAAAAAATATTTTTGTAATATAGAGTCATATATGAATGGGTGTTTGAAAATGATCATTGAATAAGAATAAGAAATTTTCTACCAGACATTTCCAGAATTTTATTCGTTGTAAAAAATATTTTTAATAGTAAAGATATTTTGAGAAATAAATATGCACTAATTTCCTAGAGTCATGCGTTAATGCATATTCATGTCATATAATAGAATTACCAATAAGCATTAGAAAAGAAAATGACATTCAACATATTGGAAAAAATTGAAAGTCTTGCATTTTAATTTTCATCAATTCTGATATATTTTTTATATTTATTGTTAAAATGATGTCTATTATTCGATCACTATGTTTGTATTAAATGTTTCATACAATATTCAATAAATAAGAACGATAAATTCCTAAGATTTTATATAAATTATTCAATTAGGCATTTACAAGAGCAAATTTTCTCAGGTATTGAAATGCATTTTTCAACATAGATCTTACCGGAATTGAACAAGATCCTTTCTTTTGTGGTTCAGCTAAAGTCTGGCAGAAATGTTTAATCAATAAGGAATAATAATTTTATATGTTTGTGTGATTTGCTAATGGCTACAAGATAAAAGCTTAACTCTTTGTAAAAATTAACTCAAGTCAAATGATATCAAAACCTCTATAAGATAAAGAGATATCTGTACTAAAAAAGTATTTTGGAAATAGAAAGTGAGATCAATAAAAAGAATAAAATTATAAAATTATTCAATTGAATATTTCTCAATAAGTGAAAGGATTTTTTTTTCAAAATGGAAATCCTACCGGCTTTGAACAAGTTACGTCTGTTTCAGCTAAAGTCTGGAAGAAAGGTTTATTTAATATTCGGATATGTTTAATTTGCATGAAAAGATATTCTCCATAATTTACAATTTGATAAAAAAATAATGTTGATATATGAAAAGAATGGTCAATATAAAAAGGATAATACACAGTCATGTTGATAATGTTTCACAATATACTTAAAACATTCATTCATATAAATGAAAAAACACATCCTCAATGAAGTCTAAGAACCAACGCTCGACTTTTTATCCACAGTCTACTTTGTAAACCCTACTACAGCGTGGATCTTTTTTGTTAATGCTCATTGGTGTTGTTGAAATGACCATTGAATATATAAGAACAAAAGATAAAAATTAACCACGAAACATGTTCAAAACATTATCAGTTGTAGAGAATATGTTACACTGGATATAAATAAAAGTGTTGTTTTTTTTCTAATGCACTTTAAAAAATTGAAAGCTTACCAAATGTGAACAATTTCCGTCTGTGTTTTGTTCAGCTAAAGTCTGGAAGAAATGTTCACCTGATATTGGGTTATATATGTTTTATAATATTATATTTACTAATAGATATGTTTTTTTTTAGTTTAAGTAAGAAAGTCGAATCAAATCAAAACTTCTTTAAGTTAACGAAATAACCGTCATAGAATAATACTATATAATCATTGTTTCCAGCATATACATGTATATTCTGAAAATTGAATACCACCCAAGTCAGTGCTAGAAAGAATTAGGGATATTGTACTTTTTCATTTTCTCATGTACAGACTCAATCAATCCGAGCCTGTTAGTTTCTTGTAATTTTGTTGCTTTTGGTGCAACGGAGGGATCACCTTTTTCAGTATTATATAAAACAAAGTCCTTACTGAAGATGTGGGTTTTGTTTCCATGATTATCTGGAAGCAAATGTTTTTAATATAGAGTCATATATAAATGGGTGCTTGAAAATGATCATTGAATAAGAATAAGAAGATTTAATTATACACCAGACATTTCTAGAACTTTATTCGTTGTAAAACTACTTTTAATGGTATAAGTATTTGATAAGTTAATATGTATAAATTTCCTAGCGTCATATGTTTAAACATATTCGTAGCATTTGATAGAAACATCCATAAGAAATCGAAAAGAAAATGTCATTCAACATATTGGAATGCACAGCCTGTGACATTTTCATTTTTGTCATGGTTGGCTTTCTTTAGGTATTCTGTATTTCTCAAATTATTTTTCGGTTTGATTGAGCCTGTTCATAGACGGTACTGTGACGTGCAAACAACCATTCACGCCCCTAGCACCGGCTAAAGCAGAATTCAACATTAAATCATGGTTATGGTGAAATTTTGAATTTGGAAACATTTAGCAGATGTGTTCATTCGGCGGTTATCATGGTTCAGGGTGACACGTTAATGACATTCCCTGAAAAGCGGCGTATAATCCCTAAGTAAAAGAATGAGTGTGACCTAAACGAGAAAACAATTTTAGTAACTATGTTATAGTTTATGATACAAATGTTAATGTCTAAAATAAATGAAAGTTTTTTTATTCATCTTAAGTTCTTGATGGCAGGAAAGTCTCTTACTGTAAAATTAACTACAGACATATTTCAAATGTTCTAGAAAATTACATTTTACATTTAATGTATATATTATATCCGTCATCAATAATGACTAAACTCAATATATGATTAAATTGTAAATTATCATACGTTATTGAAATGACCTAAAAGAAGAGCTGCATGTCAGACAGCACGCTCGAATATTCAAAGTCAACAACCTGCATAATAAAGGAATTCTCTTATTCATAAAGTAGTATAATTCTATGGAAAGAAACAAATACCAAATTGCAGGTCAGTAAATGAGTTCCTTTTTCTGTGCATGAAAAAATTAACAGAGATGTTTCAACATTTTGACACACGCGCAGGGCATTATCTATGAAACTATAGGCAAGATGTCAGATTTTAACCATTTTACAATATTGATAATCTTTTCAATATCACCTTTCATTAAAGTATAAAACAAAGAAGTATTTAAGTTACTGTTGACCTCTGTTCGTAATACCCTACCCACTTTTGGATTGGTTAAGATCAATAAAATACATTTCTGGCATACTTCACTTATTATAAAGACTTGTAAATACATTATTTCTAAAGCTTTATAAAATGAAATCATGAATGTTATTCAGTTTAAACAAAAACAAAAGATAAGTTACACACATTAAGAAAAGGTTACCCAGTTTGCAACATTTTTTTTCTTGTGTCGTAAATTTAGGCGATGAAAACTAGAAAAAATGCAATCAAGTCAGAATTTACAGCATGAGTTAGTTAAAAAATGAGTAATTTTGTGTTTAATTCAAATTGATTTACAAAACTTAGAAAAGAAATAAGCAAACGTAATTATACTGGAATATTTAAGGATTTGGCGGCCATCTTTGACGCCACCTAGGATATCTTAGCTTTGCATCGGGGAATGGGTCAAATGAGTATCCTTTTCAGAAACTACAGATCCAGACTAGTAAAATAGGTTGATTTGTAGCACGATTAAGAAATAGCTTTCAAAGAATATTATCTTGAAAAACAAAATTGTGATCAATTGCAAAAGACTTTTAACTTGTTATCAAATCTGACATATTATCATATGCATTACGAAACTGTTGTTTAACATTTTTGGGTTTCATGCTAAAAAGTGTACAAAATATTATTGAATAATCATAGTTACACGCACTGGCAGTTCTTAAAAAAGCAATGTAGCTCTTCAAGTTAATTAGTAACTGAATGCTGGGTTTTCGGTATATTTCGCAGACACGTGCTATAATATTTGAGTGAGTAGACTTATTGACTATTAATGGCTATTTTAAGAACAAAATGTGTTGTGTTATGAAGGCCATGTCTAAGATATTATTTTATGATGTTATGTACATTGTGATCATGTGGATTGAATGCAACATTAATTTTCATGAGTATAACTATTACATATTTTGTCTTGTTACCTATGTTTAGTTTTAATATTTCAACAGAAAGTTGTCTTTGAAACTTTGTAAGCAATACGAAATGTTTTTGTCATTGAAATAGTAATTAAATTTAACTAATTAAAATTTAATTAATATATGCTATAAGATAAGAATTATTAGTCTCAACAGTTATTTCAAATACCTATACTAGGCTTTATATTTATCATGCGATACATTTTTCATTGAAATGTGTATTATATTTAAATTTAAGAAAGTCATGTCATAAACGAAAATATTTAAGCTGGATCACAAAAATAATAGAAATAGATAAAGCAGTACCTCAAGCTTGCTTATCCCGTTGTACCACTCGGTGAACCAGCCCTCTCTTTTAGTTGGATCATTAATATCCTGGTAACGTGGGTCGTGGTCTATCATCATGGATGCTCTTTTCCAATTTTTTGCTCCTTTTGCCTTTTCGTTTAACAAATTAAGGAACAGTTTCTTTTTTGACTGCAAACGATAAATGTTTAAAGTACTTTACGTGTTTAATCTTGTATGAAAAATTTACATTTAGCGTGATATTGACATTGGTGTATCAAAGTGACTACTGGTAAATTTAAAAACCGCGGTAACCTTTTTACAAATTGATAAAAATTAATGTTGATATATGCAAATGAATGGTCAATATAAAAAAGGATAATACACACGTTGACAATGTTACACAATATACTTAAAACATTCATTCAAATAGATGATAAAATACCTCTTCAATGAAGTCTAAGAACCAATGCTCAACTTTTGCTCCACAGTCTACTTGGTATGCCCTACTACAGCGTGGATCTTTTTTTGAAATTTTCATTGCTTTTTTGAATTTTGTTGATAATGTAATCTGCGGATTTTCTCTCAACATCTGAGAAAAGTCCTCTTTTATATCTTCTGTGTCAATATATTCTTCATCCTCCAAATTAATGAACAAAGACACGAAACGAAATTAAAAAGTATTTTTGACATTCGCAATGAAATCATCTCAAATTATTATTGTTTCTTATGGTAGTATAATACGAAAAAGCATTTCTTATGAAACGTAAAAAAGAACCAATAGTTATTTAATTTGAATTCTGTTTAAATTGTGTTATAGCCGGAAGAAAAGGAAAATGATAATGTATAAAACAAATGGTCTGTTCATACTAATTCGTTAAAATTAAGTATAAAACACATATGTCATTAAACCAATGCCTAGCGAACCGAACAGGGAAGCTATTGAATTTAAAATGTTAAAGGAATGGAAGCGTATATGGTTCACCTAGATGATGTGGTCATGAGTATTTTGTATGACAGCAAGACGTTTTTTGCTCAAATAGGAACTCAAATTGAGAAAATATAAATATGACACTTTAAATGACACTTTTTACTGAAACGTTAATATATGACCTCCATTTTGCGCCATAATGAGGTTTTAGATGACTGATTTTTGTTCGGTTTAATCAGATGTTTTAACAATTCATTTTTTTCACAAAGACTAGACTTTTTATTGACCTTCAAATTCACTTGTTAGACTAAGGGCGTTATTCTCAAGGAAATAATTTTGGAGTTATTTCCTTTTTTACTTATAATTTGTTGCAAGATGTCTATCTATACTAGATTGTACTACTTTAATCTGCATATTCAGGGGGAGTTTGGTTATTCAAAACCTAAGCCCTAGGTGAAAATTTCTGGATCCGGCCCTGTCGTATTATGTAGACTAATATCAAAGCTATAAGGCAAGGCGCAAAATACAAAAGACATTATCCTGAAAGCAATATACATTACAGTTATGCCCTTTTTAACATAATATCGGTTGTTGATGGGAATCAGACGTACCGGTATGGGACTCTTGCCTTGTCTGAGATATTGATATCTCTCATTTGGTTATATGCTATTTCTTTCTTTAATTGTTTGTTTCTATCAAAGTGCGACATAGGCAAACACTAAGATGTTTTACTAAAAATAAAGAGCACGTGGTTTCTATTCATTCAATTTTGATACGTGAGAAGCATAAATTCAAGGCAAAGAATAGAAAATATACGCTAATGCATTTTCCTTTTTTCTACTTTAAAACTCTATTCCACAATAAAACAAAAAAAATCAAAATTTGTAAGCTTACTAGATTATTGTAACCATTTACTGTTTTAAAGAAGATAACATCAACTGTTCGGACGTACACATCTGCTTCAATAATTGGCATAAATCTGAGCAGGCCGTATATTTATCAAAGCTTGATGATATTCTGTCTTTGATGGTAAAAGCTGTGGTTGAATGTTTACTTTAGGTCATGTTTTCATACTCTTACGCAAATCACTTCCCTGTGATCAGAACAAGTCTCAGCTACGACGCTATTTACTTTAGTCGTTACGCTCTGCCAATTAGTGATGATAAGACTCTGAACTAAGTGGAGAGTATAAATGGGAGATATACAGTTAATAGTGATTTACTAGCTGGAAAGCCCTTACTGAGATTCAGCAGGCTGGAGGGGTTAATGCGTAGAACTGATTTATTCATACATAGGTTTCACCAATTATTTTCTTACATCAAGTCATTTAGTTTATACGTTTTTATCGATGTTAAATTGAACATTAACAAAACAGATTTTTTGGTTATATACCAAAAGCAAGAAAATGATAAAACCTTGATAATTTATTGGCATACATTAATACAGGCTGTATATTTACCAAAGCTTGCTCATTTTCTCTATGTGATGTTAACAGCTGTTTTTGTTTGTATTCTTTGGGGCTCTTTTTGACGCTAATTAGTTCATTGTTACCGGAACAAGTCTGAGCTACGTCTTTATTTACTTCACTCGTTACGCTCTGCTGCAGAAATAAGTAGTTTTAAGCATATGGTTTAGTAAGCAATTATAGAATAAACATATACATGCATATGTAAATCATTTATTTCAATTATTATATTTTACAATTATAAATAACGAATATTAAAAAAAACGGTTTTCAATAATTTTTATATCACGCTTACTGATTTAGAATTGTTAGAATGATCGTGAAATTCAAAAGAACCTTCGTTTTCATAAATCATATCACAATCGCTTTGTCATGAGTTGTTGATAACCAATTATCTTTCCATATTTATGTTAATAATATAAGTGTTCAGCTTTGTGATAGTGAATCATAACCAAATATTCTTCCATGAGATAAACATAGCTTTTAAGATTAATTTTGCATGATAAATTAGGTAAAAAAGTCATCAAGATATGATGTAAAATGTCATCTTGTAACAGATTTTTAAATGAACTTAGAAATTATCTTTAACAATGTGGTCATACCACGTGACTTTTCGGGTACGGAACACGCCGATTTTTCACCCGATTCAAGTATGTTTTTTATTCATAACTTATTTATTACACAACCGATTTTGATCAGATAAGGCGCAGAGTACCCGTAATTATATCAGCTATCCACGGTATATCAAAATTCTGAAAATCCCTGAATGGTTTTTGAGAACATTCGAGTACAGTTTTCTTTTAATAGCCTGGGCTAAGGGGAACGATACACACTCATTTGGCAAAACAGGCGATTTCTAGCAAGTCATATGTTTTTGACACTATTTCATACAAAAATACATGTTAAATCTGATATATTTACTATGTCCAATGTATCGAGTGAATGCAGTGTTGTTTAAGCATATTTTCATAAAGTTATGTTGAAATGGTACGGAACACACTGTTATTTCAAAAGATACGGAACACACATAATTTCTGTCTTTGAAACAATTCTAAAATAAAATATATAAAAAAAAATAATTTAAATTATAATGATAGTGATTTTTTTCATAGTTATACATTTTATTAATTTAAACGAGAACCCAGGGACCTGTTTTGCAAAGTATCAATATGCCTACAGTTTAATGTAAACAGAATTATTCAAAAAATAAAAGAACATTCTGAGAGTATGTTGCGCAAAATTCGATTTTATATGTTTAGCAATTAATATTGGCTATAAAATGTTAAAATTTTAGGGAGAGATACGGAAGACATTCAAAATTTTGTTTTGATTTTCATTTGAAACAATTAGGTATATTCTTTTGGATTATAAAACGAATTGTGAAATTCACGGACATCTGTTATGTGCAATGATCATTTCATTTAATTTGTTTGTTGGAATATATAAATGACTGTCTAAACGTAGTATGAATATATAAAGAAACAAGAAGTTAGGAGTAATATATGCTCCTTGCAAAATGTTGTTTAAATAATCGAATTTGGAGAAAAAACGCTGGTTTTGATGTAAGTGGATTTTTTTAAATCACGGAAAGTTTAAAGTTTTTTTTCGGCCTCATGATATTTGGTATGAATCATCTGCCAGGGTCCCAAACTAACTATCAAATTATCTACATATGGAAAAATATACTCCGCAGTTTTACGTGCAATCAAAATTAATAATTTTTATAATTTGAAGAACCCATATGGGAACAAGGCCTGTTATATATCGTAACGTAGTTTATACAAGGTAACCTTGTTACATGTACATGTAAGGATATACATGTTAGGAAATTTGGTAAAAATATGCCTATCTTGGACTTTCATTTCAAGATGCATTTAACACTTGAGTTCATGAATATGCGTGCTTGCGTGTTTGTTTTAAAAATAGAATGATATTTTAATAATACCCATTTTGTCAATCAAATGCTATGGATTTTGGAGGCTGAGTTATGTTTTATATACTACATGAAGTAGGTACGAGACCACAAGTGACTTCGATGTTTCGATTTTTATGTGCGAAAATTTTCTTACTACCGTACAGAATGTCGGTCGTTTTACTCAGGTGCCCGTTCGTTCCTTTATTTATACCCAAAGGGGCACTTGTAAAACTCGAAAGTCTCCACATGATAATGTCAGTTTTATGAGCCGTGAAACCAAACTAAAATTGACCTAATTACATGAATTAAAAGTTATTTTTAAAGCTTCATGCCTTAAAACATTAAAAATTTAAGCAATGGCGACTACATTTTTATTTGTTTGGGTCGTCAGACCAAACAAATAATGGTAGCGAAATTTCAGGCTTTGATATGCTTATTTGCAAAATAAGAAAGTACTCCGAATCCCTGGAAGCGGTTACTTACTTTTATATGTACTCTAACGCTGAAAAAATAAGGGGGGATCACTGTGTTAAGTCAAATCACCAGCGCATTAATTTTCAAGCCTTCTCGGGAGAAGAAAAAGTAGTTCCCGATTGGTCAAAGATTTCAAATATTGTGTAATTCTTTACTGATATACATGTAATATTAAGCTCCATGATTATTTACATCAGTGTCAAACGAAATTAATAAGGGTTACAGACCCTAATTTAGAATGATATGGTTTTCTTCAGGCTGTTATCTTATATAACTTCCCCGTGGTCGAGGGGTTACACGCTCGTTTAGGAAGAGAGATGTCCTGAGTTCAAATCCAAGTTAAGGCAACTCATGTTTTTTGTTTTGTCTTTGTTTTTAATTGTTTAAGCCAAATTAATAATGAATTACATATCAGTGTTGCAATAAGCCTTATAGCCAATCTACTACAGTTATGACACTAGAAACAACATTGGTGGCACTATACAAAAACAAATTAGTTTACAATCTCACAGCCTTCACCTTTCTGACATTCTGATACCCAAACAAATTCAGCGCCTTCTGTGATTTGATTTAATTAAACATGACCATGATATTGCATAATTGTACCTAATGACTTGCTTATTATTAACAACATATAAATATATATAAATTGTTATCAAGTAATGATACTTTTCAGCGATTTAGGTCATGACCTTGTATGTTAAGCGCGATCTTTTGAAATATAGTGCACAAATACATATAAATGTTAAAAGTAAGCATAATGATACATTGCAAAACAGGCCCCTGGGTTCTCGTTTAAATTAATAAAATGTATTACTATGAAAAAATCACAAACATTATAATTGAAATTAAATT